GGGGGGGGGGGAGAGGAGGGGGAGAGAGAGGTGGAGGGGTTATAGTACTCCAAACCAGGAGGGTTGAATATCCCCGGGAGAGCCGCAGATGGGGAGGGCCTGGAATTTCTCAATATTCTTTTGATTTGGTCCTTGCATTATAATTCCGACCCTTGGGGCAGAGGGTGGGGGCCACGACAAACTATTCACAGAAACCTTCGTATGCAAATTAGGTGAACAGCGCCGAATTGTATGACGCAATCGTCAAATTGTTGCTTTAATACGCGCATGACATCGTCGTCGATCAATTTCGGCCACTCTCGCTAGGAGTAGGAGTCCATCTCTTCCATCCCGTTTGTCTTCTTTCCAGTGTTTGGTTCAAATTCAAATGAATTTATTTCGAATAGTTGAGGATTTTAGCTGTCGAATGGTGTGCCACATGTGGGTGGTCAGTTTGATTGTGCGATGGTCGCGAGCAATATGCATGGAAATTTTTCGAAGGAACTGCCAAAAATTGCGAATGATCAGTATACAGTACGTACGTGCAGCAGAGCAGGGGATCTACCCGATGTTCCCCAATACCATGTTCCCCCAAATCCATAGGATTAGGGTTAGGGTTAGGGTTAGGGTTAGGGTTAGGGTTATATTGGTAAGGATTTCGAGAACATGGTATTGGGGAACATCGGAATTGGGGAACATAGACATGCACCCGTGCAGGAGCTATGGAAGAAGCGTTACAAAGCAAGGATTCCGTTTGTTGATGGCCTTTTTTTTCGTCCCTTATACTATCCCAAAGCGACGAGACGGGGTTGAGTGGGTGGGGTGAGGGAGGCCCGCGGGTTGGAGTGCAGGTTGGAAGGGTGGGGAGGTTGGGGGCGGTGCACCGGGAACACTCCATGCACATTTTTTATTGACCCTTTTGGCCTTGCCCATTATCCCGACCCCTTGGGGCAGGGCGGGGATAAAATTTCCTTTGTTCCTAATTTTTCCTTTTTTCCGTGCACCATTATCCAGACCCTGGGGAAGGGGGAGTTAGGGGCGGGGGGAGGGGCGAATGGGGGATGGGGGCAAATGGGGGATGGGGGCCGCGTCCCCACTTCTACGCCTGTGCAATTAAGCGTGTGTGTGTGTGTGTGGGGGGGGGGGGGGTTAGAGTACTCCGAATCAGGAGGTTGGAATATCATTTTTTTTTATTCACCCTTTGCGCTGTCCCCTGGCGCGGAATGGAATATACTATGGGGTGAAAATATCCTATTTTCATGCAATGATGTTTTGGGTTTTTTTGGGGGAGAGGGGGGGGGGGTGGGGGTTTTATACGAAAACTCAAAAACAGTAATCATGAAAAATATAAAATTTAAAAAAAAATGCAAATTGCAGACACGAATATCTCATATCTCTTTTGTGAAAATGTTGTGGCTCTGAAAAGAGCCGTTTTGGTTTTAGTTTGTTGATTTGATGATTTCTTCGAAGGCTTGGCCGACACTTTCTTCTGCTTGCTCGATGTGTTCTTGCTAGCTGGCTTCTTGGCTGGCTTGAGCTCGGCTGACTTGGCTGGCATGGCTTGGTGGAGGATTTCTTGACAGATGTATATTTGACTTGGATGGCGTTTTCTTGGCAGCTTTCTTGGGTGACTTCTTCGGCGCGGGTTTCTTGACTTTCTTCACCATTGTGGCTTTCTTGGCTTTTCTGCAATCTTGGCTTTCATTTCCCGTTCCTTCTTGGCCTTGATTCTCTCCTTCTCCTTAGCTGCCTTAGCCTTGGCCGGCAGCCTTCTCTTTCTCCTCGGTGGTGTCAAACTTGAACGTACCAGCGGCTCCCTTACCTGCCATCCGAGTGGGGCCGTATCATAAGTCCGACGCCTCATAAGTCCGACGCCTCATAAATCCGAAATTTCGGACTTATGAGGCGTCGGACTTATGAGGCATACAATTTATTAATTCCGCTTCATAGGTCCGACGCCTCATAAGTCCGACGCCTCATAAGTCCGACAAATTAAACGCCTCGTTTTTACGTTGTCGGACTAATGAGGCGTCGGACTTATGAGGCGTCGGACCTATGAGGCGTCGGACTTATGAGGCGTCGGACTAATGGGCCTTTATTTGGTTAGGGGATGCGATTTTGTCGGACTTATGAGGCGTCGGACCTATGAGGCGTCGGACTTATGAGCGGACCCCATCCGAGTGAGCCTCCAACTTCATTGATTCATGTTTTATTATTTAAAAGTTTACTCTAGCATGGCTTATTACACAGAAATTCTTAGGGTGGATTATCTGGATCCGCACGTCCGTACCCCCGTGGGCGTACCAAACACCTCCCTTATACATTCTATAGGCATGCAAAAAAACCATATCTTTTTTCGCCTCTTTGGCCGACGTTCTGACTTGGTGGGTCCTTTTTCCGCAAGTTCAGAATATTTTCTCTAAAAATTGGAGCAAACTACATGTATTTGAAATGCCTTCCTTTGTCAGAAACCAACAAAATAGAAACTGCATTCTCATGTTTAGACGATACACAATAACATCAGAGGAGAATAACAATCAGTACTGACGAACTATTCGCTCACAAGATGCCTTTGATCACTAGTTCTCCATAATTATTTAGAGTATTTTGTATTCGGAGTATTCATCATTTTCCATCGTTTCCAATGACCTTTCAATAACATTGGACTTAAAGGGAAATCTGAAGGGCTCCGCTAAGCCTCATATAGGTCAGACGCATATAGGCTTCAAGTCCGGCAAAATCTAATATAAGGCCCATAACTTATAAAATTCCGACGCCTAGGTCCGACACCTCATCATTCCGACGCCTAATAATTTGGAAATTTCGGACTTCCGAGGCGTGGCGGGGGTCCAGGTTTATCATCGGAGGAGTCGGACTTGCGATATATAAGGCCCCAACCTTGATAGTATAGCCTCCCATGCAGCTACGGAACAACTCGAAATTTCGGTTAATCAGGGTATATATATATATTGTTTTATTTCGTAGTACTATGCAGTTTTCTTTGACCATGGAGGGATGGTTTGAATTTCAAGTTTTGAGTTATCAGTGTTGACTTTATCCAGATTTCGCTTATTCCAATTTGTCAGCGTTTTCACGAAGGGGTGAATTTGCCGCAATAGGTGTTGGGGTTTGATGGTTAGGGTTAGGTTTGGGGAACAGGTATAACATAATGCACCCGTTGAACTTGCAGTGGTTGTCAGAAAAGAGGTTTTAAGTTGGTCATGATTTGGAATAAACATTTCGCCTACTACTGACTAACTTTTGAAACACAGATGAAACTTCAAAGATGTACCAATTACAGAATAATGGAACAACAATTGCGAGGTACCGGTATCGTAACTAATCCCCATAGATGTTTGTCTGGTCGTGAAAACTAAATCCCACACACTTGTTTTGGCAAATTGCCGATACCCATTCCCCACCCTTTGAACGAATTTGTCTCTTCGTAAAAAATCAAAAGACATTCAGGTGAAGTTTTCTCAACAATGATTGTTATGATTTCGTTGATTTTATCTGATTTTGACCAAGACTTCTTTCCAAAAAATGTTTGTTGCGTGCATTTACCAATTTCAGCCGGAACAAGAATTTTGAAAAAAGGTATGATTTTTGGACTGATAATTTAGTCCCTCCGTAAAAACGCTGAAAAACTTTTGCAATTTGATTCAAAAAATTGCAAAACTATTTTTTAGAAGACCTGTCATGCTTACTGCTTACTTCCTTTGATTCGATTTTTTAAAGAACGAGTTTTTGACTATGTATTAGCCTGGGGGAGATGATAATCTGGATTGTTTGTTTTGCGTCTGTTCTTTGACGACTCTTCTGAATTGCCCCCATGATCTACCCCTTTCGTGAAGTTGGCATCAAGTGTATTTCCTTTTATTTTCATGCCTTTGTTGTTATAACTTCTCGACATTATTGACAAGTGGTGAACATTCATATTCGTACTTTTATTAGTCATCTAAGTTAAAAACAAACACATTCTTGTCCTGGTGTAAAATCAAAGAGTAAAAAAAGTAAAAACAGCATGCAAGAACTGACAATAGTATAACTTACATTTAAATTAACCTATGAATAAAATATGCCTAACATAATAAATTTTAAAATGATAACAAAAAGACTGACAGCAAAAAGACACGATGCTTATCCGTCCCGGGCTAGCACTGTGACAATAAAATATAACTTAAACATATGCCGGGGAAAAAAGGATAAGAACTTTAAAAATGTGGTTTTTTTTCCATCGTCGTACGCGTAAAAACCACAGGTTCAGATTTTGAAAAGTTATTAAACTTAAATAAGGCTATTTTGTACTGTGTTTTCCAGTGGCTAATCACAACAAATGATGTAGGAATCTATACGATCTTTCATATTTGCTGTATTATTATGTAACTTTGAATATAATCCAATTGCATTTTGGTCAAAAATAAAATGAAGCAAGCTTCGAATTTAACTCCGTTTTAAAAAATTGACTTGAAGCCCCCGATCCCCTAGTTCATCCAATACATGTACATACGCATTTGTAAGCAGTATGCATGCAGTGCATAGTGTGCCTGGCCGTGGCGTGGGAACGTATCAGATTACATATCGGCCGACCGCAATATCGATCGGTTCAAAAATAGAGGGTCCGCGCGGGAATTGACCTAGATTGACCCGCAAATGTTCGGGTTGTCTGTGACGTAGGCAAGTCACCGACATATTTTTCTAAAAATGACTGCAAGTGCGCAGGCGTGCAAATTCCCGCACGATGCATAGGCCAAGTTCGTATGTGTGAAGAATATCTCGGAAAATGGAACATCATTAGACCTAAGCACATGCTAAGCATCCCAGAAGTGATAGGAGACATCATAGAATACAACCATAAGAAAGTAAGAAACTGAAAATGTAAGAAACTGCCCTGAATTTTATGAAAAACTTCGTCCTCAGTAGCGCGCGGTACCACGGTGTGTGGCCAGAGGTTCAGCGCAGCATACCGACGGCCACACTAGTAGTGGGGCTATGCAAAATCAATCGAAGTTCTAACTCACCGCATCAACAACGATCAACAAAATCCCTCTTGACAATCAACAGATTCACACCGGTTAGCGACGATCTCGTTGTTACAAGACGACTCTTGCATATTTACAAATCAACCCAACGAACCGATCTTGAATCCAGGAAAAAATCAGGCGTTTCTTGGTCAATCGCTAGCGCAGTCTCAATCATTTTTCACAGCTGTCAGAAATGTATAATGTAAACAAGTAATTTTATGCAGACTAGTCTGTTACTAAAATCATTCGCGTAGCTTTGCATAGAGTATCCGCTTTGTAATAAGGGAACAAGACCATTGCGTTAATGTGCTCGCAGAACGCATGCTGAGCGCAGTGTGGTGTACACCAGTCAAAATATAATCGCATCTAAATGATTGGAATGTTGGCGCGGGTACCAGTCACATTCCACACGGTTCACTTTTACTAGCCCCGCCCCTCCCCCGCGTGCAAAGGGGGGGGGGAGGGATAACGTTCAATTAACTAAAATACCTTGAAAAAAAATTAAACAGAAAAAAGAAAAATGTAACGCTTCAATATTCATTTATCTGTCGGTGCTTGAGTGTCTTGTGTGAATTTTAAACAAAATGATTTTCAATTTTAAAGTTAATTTCTTCAAATGTTCCGGACTTAAAAAAAAAAAGAGTTGAAATCTGTTTCTCTATTTGTAGTAAAAATGTATCAAAAATACCATACTGCGATACAAACTGCAGCCTGAAAACATAAAACATGAGAAAATGTGACACAGGAAGAAATAAGACTTCTGTTTGTTATTTTTTTATTGTGCGTGAGTGTCCTGTGTGAAATTTAAACAAATCATTTTGCATTACTTATACAATAATATCAACATGTTCTTTTTTTAATAAAACACAATGACCAAAATTGCACCATTTGACCACAATTAACAGACTACATTGATAACTCCAACGTGATTCATTTTCTTATGTAAGAAAACAATAATTTTTTTATTCTATAAAATATCAAATAAAATGGTGCTTCGTAAGTCCATCATAAGATTCTTATTTGACAAAAAGTTACAAACTATACTGTTTTTCCAATGGAAACTTTCAGAAAATGTAAGAATTCATTACAAATTTGCATAATGTTTTGTCTTAAAGAAAACGAAAGGTAACAATTAACAACATATTACATCAATTAATTATGAAATACTGTTATGAACCCGATAATTTCTGAACAAAATGTACTGTACAAAAATGCCCCGAAATTATGCATTATGAAATGCATATTTTTTTTTCTAAACTAAAATTTAATGTAGAATTGATAACATAATGACTCAGTGCAAAATAGGCATCAAAATCAGAATGCAATCTACAAAAACAAAAAGAAGGAAATTTCAAATTTACTGCTTTTAAAATTCCAAAATTAGGGGTTCGGACATTTTGGGAATAACATCTACCCTTTGCCATTAAGTTAGAGACAAAAATATCACATAGAGCCACACAAGTACTGGAACTATTCCAATCTTTAATAAAACCTATACCATTCACTAATAGATGTTACATACTAAATAATAAACATCATGTCAAGTTTATAAATTTACACATTTATACTGATTTTTTGAGTGACTGAATAAACTTTTATTATCCCTCAATCACAAAACAAATCCTGAACCTCTAGATCTATGTGTTGATCAGAACATTTTCAGCCGGGAAACAACAATGTCCTTCACCAAAAAAAATGTACCAAAAAACTACACTTCTATACTACACTTGTAGTAAATGTTTACCGCAATAAATTTGTTTCAAAATGGTTTCATTTCTTCAATTGTTTTTCTTAACAAATGAATATTTGAAACCCTCCAAAACAAAGCCAGCCACAACACTTGGACCAGAAACTGGGATTTTGGGCTCAGTGGAAAGGACATTGAATAAGTTTTGCAATGTTGTACAGAATATGAGAATCGGACAAAAATCTGAAGGAGCTATAGGCATTTTCAGTTCCCAATTTTGGGGTAATGGAAAGTAAAAAAAAATAACGGAGAAATTTGTCCCTTAAGTTTCCCAAATGAACTCCTTAGGAAATTTACAAGTAAACTTCATTAATTATTATTAACTATGTTAATTTTTCTAGTTCTACGCCTAAATCAGAATTTTGATAATTCCCGCCTGTTGAATGTGTCACAGGCTGTATCTCAAAATACAGGAGAGTATGGGCTCCGTGCGCCAACAAAAGAGGGCGCCTTTATACCTAACAACGACGTCCCATGGGCGGGACACATACATTTCGCTGGTTGAAGCGCACGCACCGGTCCTTGTGTGTGACGATGTGTAGTATGTACACGCAGTGGCAGCGCTTCGCGGCAAAATATTGCAGTCAGGCAAGATGGCGTCGATCGGTCACCCCCAACTGTACTTTCTTTGCCGGTGAGGGGGTACTTGTGAACGGAGCGGATACAGGCTGTATCTCGAAATAAGCTCATAACTAATGTAATGCTACAAAATTATCAATTCGATTTGAAAATCTATTTTTAAAGGTGCCACACCCAAAAAGCATACACTAAATTTAAGGGAAGTTGAGTCCGAGAACCATGGTCATGACTATACTTGGTTGCAGAAAAAAATAATTGCAGCCGAGTCATGCGCATTATGGTCACTGACTATACTTGGTTGCAAAAAAATAACTGCGGCCTGGTCACGTGGGTCAGTGAGAGAGCCCTATAGACCTTTATCATGCTGCCACCATTTTAGTCATGTTCCCTGTATCCAATAACAGTACTGAATGATAAGGTTTTTTGTGCAAAAAGGAACCCGACTATTTTTCCTTCCAGCCTCGCTTTGGTTATGTTGATTTGAATGGGAAAAAAATAAAGATGGCCGCAATATGATAATGGTCTATAAATTCTGTAATACACAGCCTAAGACTAAATCTGTTAGCCTGGAACGCCCTCTATTCAAGTCTTCCATCACCTCCATGCTTGGTTCATGGCTTTGTTTGCGGCTAGCTTCCTTGTCAACCAAGCGGCAAACACTAGACCGACTAGAACCGCACTGATCAACGTGTAGTCAAAGTCTTCCTTCAAGACGTCAAAGAGATTGGAGGGAGTGACTCGTGTGAAGTAATAATCTGAAATAAACAAACAGCAACTTGTGAGTAAGACTAACTGACCAGTTTGGTTTTAATATGTTCTTTCTCAGTGGTTCAGAGATAACTAGGCTTTTTAACATGATCAAGTTTATGTTGTCATTATTCAAAAATTATGCACCTACCTAAGCCATATGCCAGAAGTAGACAGGTAGACTCCAATCCAGCCGCTGATGTAAGCAGTCCCTCAATGCCAAGTACCTGAGCAATAAAGAAAAAAAAAAAAAAAAAAAAAAAAGATTAAAATTTGGTCCTAAAAGTTGATCTAGGTAGTTATTATTTGGCGATAGTAAACAATTAACTGGGGTGGTATAGTTAGTTCTGGTAATTACTGTTTGGTTATAGTTAATAAATTACTAGTGTGGTATAAGTAGTTATTTCAATTACTGTTTCTATAGGTAGTAATTGAGTGGTGTGGAAGAGGTAATTGTGGTATTTACCGTTTGGTTATAGTTAATCTGACTGGTGTGGTATAGGTAATTGTGGTATTTACCGTTTGGTTATAGTTAATCTGACTGGTGTGGTATAGGTAATTGTGGTAAATTCCCTTTGGTTATAGTTAATAACTGACTGGTTTGACGGGAAGTAGTGGGAATTACTGGTCCCTCGGTGAAGGTCAGCTTGACTACCTCCCGACGTGAAGCAGAGGGAGGTAGTCAAGCTGACCTACACCGAGGGACCAGTAATTCCAACTATTTCCAGAAATAAACCATGCTGCATTTGTTTTACAACACCTAATAAATATTTAGTAGCCTCACTGCCTTATAGTAGCCTCACTGCCTTGTCGATAACGGCCTTCGTAGAGTTTGCATCTTTATTCAGCACAAGATATTCAAGTTCTTTGTCAGTCAGTGAAATAGTCTGGTTTCTTTCCTACAGTAGTTACTGACTACAGTAAATACAACAACAGACTACAACTTCAGACTGGTTCCGTAAAGATTACATGCCACAGACTACATGTCTACGAGGCGGGTTCCAGAGGGAATTTTTGGTGCTACCAGAAAATATACCGCACGGCAGCGAGCTGGAAACTTATCGGGATGACGTCACCTGGGCGCGTATCATTTTAACTTCCCGGACGCGCGGCACAATCAGCCAAAGACGTGCTTCAATTTGATCATGAATATTTATGAGGTGTAGTAATAACTAACTAACTGGTGTGGTGTAGGTAGCTTTGGAAATTACCGTTTGGTTATAGTTAATAATGGTAAACTTAGTTCTGGTAACTGGTGTAGTAGGGGTAGTTTGTGGTAATTACCGTTTTGTTATAGTTAATAATTGACTGGTGCGGTATCGGTAGTTCCGGTAGATATGGTATCAGTCCTTCTTCTTTCTCTTCGGTGGTGGGTGCTAGAGGGCGCCGCGGATCTAGGAACCGTTTGGGCAAGGCTAGGATACCGCCAGACTGCAGGGCAACTGAGGAAACAAAACGCCAGAAAAAAATAATAAAATCACAATTTAATAAAACAAAAATGTATCCCTCATCCAACCAAAGACAAATCTGGATGTGACTGGCTTAGCTTGAGAAAAATGTTTCATGAGCAAATTGTCTATTTCGTCAAACTCATTTACCCCAACCACCCCAACCCTTTAAAATCCAACTGCATGTTTTGTTGGAATCTGTTGGAGTGAGGACTGCACTAGTAAACTGATTATGCTTTACATGGGGTTTAGGCATGCCACCATAATCAGAGTCCAACAGTTTGGGTGTTGCGTTTACCATATGGTGTTGGATTTTGCAAGAGTGAGGAAGGTTCCTAGTATTAAAATCACTCAAGGGGGTTAGAGTTAAAGATACGTGCCCTGTGCTTTGCTTTTTTTTTTAATTCTGCTAACAACTTTTCAATTTTTATGTTTTGTTCTTACGAAAAAAACCCACCTACTTTTCTCTGATTTATTTGGCGCCCTGCGAGAGGTGAAATATTGTCGGGCCACGAACAATGCAAACTTTGTAAAGAAATAATCCAATAACTAAATGTCAGAGGATTTTTTTTTGTTCGAAGTCTCATTGGAAAAAAAAATGGAAAAATGGAAGATTTACGTAGTAGGTTGCTGCTGGTGATGCCTTTCTCTGTGCGTGTAATCGCCATGGACTGTAGAGCTGAGGGGAGGATGTAGGACTGCCTGAGCACTAGGGGAGCCGGGGGAGGATCAACCGACGAAAACACAGTGCTGCAAAGAAAAAAGGGAAAACCTGATAGTGTAACAAGTCCTGTTAATTGCGAACAGAAGATGACATGTTTTTTTACCACTTTCAAATGCTCCAGTGGGCAGGACACAACGCATGCAATTACTTTAAGGGGCCCACGCAATGTATTTTTTTTCTAATGCAATCCTTGAAATGCACCTTTGTGTCCCATTTAACCTTATTTTCAATTTTCGTTTTGCCATTTCCAAGGATATTTTGATGACTATATTTTGTTATGCTTATGTGAAGTTCCATAATCATGAGCAAAACTGTGATGTCATTCCAGGCAGAAACCTCAGCATTACAGCTATTTCAGTGCAAAAAGTCGCTAGAATTTTTGGATATTTTGCTGGATATTTTATATTTTGGATATTTTTTTATATTTTGCTCGGCCGCACCACAAAAAATAGAAGGAAGTTCTATTCCATGGTAAATAAAAGTTCCATTGCACAGTCACGCGTTTGGTGGCTCTGACCAATCAGATGACGAGGATTTATTCAGGTGTTGTAGAAAACAAAATTGTGAATGTTTCACATTTGTGCAATGGAAAGAATAATTTAACTCGGTGGAATAATTTCATTCGTCTCGTGGAATGGAACATTCCATCTGTCACCTCATAAAATTATTCTTACCATTGCACTCATAAACATTCATTATTTGTATAACCTCGCATATTTGAAGGAGAACGATAATCCATTCTTACTCACACACGTAGTCATTAGTTGATGAGGTTGTTTACGGGATCGGAAATGTTGAGAATGAAATAATTAAATAACGTACCTGTTTTTCTGGACTTTTCCTTCATACAGCTCCAACACTGTCATCTCATGACGTCTATGTCTGGAGTTCCAATAATGATACTACAAAGGGGAGATTCCAAAGGTTACTCATTTTCACCTCTGCTGGATTGTAAGGTTGTACCAAATATACGGAATACTTGAATACTCGATCATCAATCGAATCCACTAGCATCGTTTTTCGACTCAAATATTCGAAAAATAAGAGCGGTCTTGAGCAGATAATGAAAAACATCCATGATGGTCTCTTAATCGTTTAAGTTGCGTGGTTTTGCTTTTCAAATGCCAACTTTTGTCAAAAGCCACTTTGGCGCATGACTGGAGAACTTCCATGAGAAAAATTTGCTGAAATTTCTTCTTTAAAAATCGGTCAAATATCAGCCATTCCGCTTCCTTTTCTGTATATTATTTTAATAAGCTCTTTGTCCATTTTGAACAAGCCCAGGTGCATGCAAACCCCGATTGAAGGCTGAGGCATGTTAAACTTGATCAGCACATTTCAAATATTCGAAGTCCAAGTTCGAATAATCATATACTCAATTATTCGAAAAAACACAGCCCTTCTGTTTTGATATACGAATATCAATACATAACTTGATTTTCAATTTGGACATGTCATCGGCCATGTTTTGAAGGGGGAAAAATACAAACAAATAAGTGTGAAGAGTACAAATCAATAACTTCAAAGTAATCTTGAAGGAATGTGAACACATCGTTGACAATGTTTAGAAACTAAAAGGTACCAATGGAATTTGTATATTTTACTCTCGTCTCCAACCTCCCAACAAAACTCTTATTCCTAATGATTTTTTTTTAGAACAACCTCAAAGTAAGATACATATTTTTTAATGATTGGAGAACTCACCACGATCCAGTTTTCGGTGTGTACCAGGAACAGCGGGCTGGAGGTCTTTTTGTGGTCGATGCTGAACACGATATGACCGGTCACTACGTCAATAAGATACACACTCACATGGCCTGCGAAGATGAATCAACAAAAAACATCTTAAAATTCACGCAAGAAGCAAGACTAGGTAAGAGCGTAGTATAAAAGCTCGTCCAAGAATGTGCAAAATTCAATCGATTCAGAATGGCGATTCACTGGAAGTCTTTTCATGCATCTGGTCTACACAGTGGGCCGCTTTAACCCATTCATTGGCATTACGGGGTAATCCTATACAAGAGCACTGCCAAGCTCTCTGTACCAGTCTACAGCACGTCCCAAAATATCCGCAACTTTTTTTCGCGAGGCTCTAGTGTCAGCGCAGAAACACATAGCGCCGTTATTTTTATACAATTTTTTATACAAAGGAAACACAGAAAGTAAAAGGCAACGAGATAGTCACATCATGAACATGATGAAGTACTTCCACATTAGAAAAAATGTGCATGGTTGATTTTCCTTGAAATTGGTGGAGTTTGTTTTTGAAATGCCTATATTTGACCACAAATTGTTTCAAAACCCTTTTGAAATTCAAACCAATACTTACCAGGGATAAAGTTAAGATTCCAAGCTTTAAAATGATATAAAAATAATGGCGGTACGTGTTTCCGCGGCGACGCTAGAGCCTCGCAAAAAAATGTTGAGGGATATTTTTTGACGCGTTGTACAACCAGTGTAATTCTCAAGTGACAGTCAGTCAGTCAGTCAGTCAGTCCGAATGGAACAAAGAGAACACTAGGCTGGACGGCTCGTCCCAGCAACAATTACATACTTGTTACTGAAATATTTTCAATTTTGAAATAAAGCTATTTATAAAAAGACAAAAACTCCCAAGTTCAATGTTGTACCTTTTGCAGAGGTGTCCTGCCCTTCAGTAACCACGGCGACCAGGTTCGGGTTGAGGTATTTGTACAGGACGGAGCGATCGCCAAGGACACGACCCTGAGAGTGAACGTGCTCTGTAGAAACGGAAATGGAAAACAAGATTCAGAGAGTTTAATAGCCTCGTGCGTGAATACAGGGGGCGCTCTTCATTCCAACGATGGAGACAACGATGGCCACTTTCATTTTTATTATTCATTCACATTCAATAAGCAATGTTTTTTTGAGAAACACTTGAACGATACCTCTCATAAAATACCTAGGATAAGTCGCGGACAAATTATCCCGCAACAGGTTCATCGTATCAGGTAAAAGTGGCAGAATTTTTCACACACAGTTCCCAGCACTTTATGACAACAGAATTATTAGTTTTCCCTGATATTTCCCTTAGAAATTTCCAAAAATCCACGAGCAATATATTAACTTTTATAACGAGGTTGGAAGTCAAGAGGTGGTTGCAGCAAAGCAACTAAGATAGTAATAATATGCACACTGCATGAACACGTAAAAGCAAGTTAGTCTATGGTCACAACTTGGACACAATTTGGACACACTAAAAAAATTAAAATTACAGTATCTAAGACACGATTTAACAATGATATTTTACGCCTCAATCCTAATATTAACCTAAATTTCCTAAAAAAATTTACCTGTATGCTTCTTTCCTTGCAGCTTAACGATGCCTTTATCTGTAGCCGGTAACCGTACATTCCAAACCACATCAGCCGATATAGATTCCGATCCCTGTCCAGTTGCAGCTAACCGGTACCCTTGTAAGGCGTTATCGGAGCGGTTAGCGGTGAAGAGATATATGGTTGATGCACGGGCCTGCAGGATACCAGTTGCTTGCTTGGGATATATGTGGACCTGCAGGGAACCAACCAATTATAAAATTTGTGAGGACGTTCAGGCGAGGGCCAGTAGTTGACAAGTGGTCGATTTGTGACGTAACTTACGTCTGCACACTAATAGCGATGTGCGAACATCTCTTGTCAAACGATGGTTTAAAAAACGTCACGAAACTTCTTGGTCCTGGTGCCCTGCTGCGCTTTATGATGCGTGTGGCTATTGGTCACCAGTGATGGAGCCGTGCCCAGTGGCCCAATTCCAAATAGTCGACTGGCGTTGTTCGAGCATCCTTGGTTCAAGCAAAGTAAGTCCAACTATGGTTAACTGTAGTCAAATGGTTACGGTGTTCGACTCGTGTGCCGTGGTACATGGGTTTGAACCCTGATGGGGAACATGGGGCTTGTGTTCTTGGGCAAGGCACTTTACTACAATTGCCTCTCTCCACCCAGGAGTATAAATGGGTACCGGTGAGGGTAGAGACCAGAATGCGCTGATATTGAGCTGCTGAAAAAAAAAATGGTCTCAGGGCCTGATGAACAAAAAAGGTGTGCGCAACTTACAGCCACATTACCGGGGAACATGGGGCTTGTGTTCTTGGGCAAGACACTTTACTACAATTGCCTCTCTCCACCCAGGAGTATCCATGGGTACCTGTGAAGGTAGAGACCAGAATGCACTGATCTCGAGCTGCTGCAAAAACTTGTCTCATGGCCTGATGAACAAAGGTAATAATTGTAAAGCGCTTTGCGACGTTTTGTGTTCTTGGGCAAGACACTTTACTACAATCGCCTCTCTCCACCCAGGAGTATAAATGGGTACATGTGAGGGTAGACACCAGAATGCGCTGATCTCGGGCTGCTGCAAAAACTGGTCTCATGGCCTGATGATCAGGGGTATTTATTGTGAAGCGCTTTGCGACCTTTGGTATAAAGCGCTATATGAGCACCACATTATTATTAGTATTATTAACATACAGAGTGGTCCAAAAAACGCTAACACTGTTTCAGATGCCGATTTTTTGGAATTGGGGAGACATGTTGAAATTGTTTCTAGATATTCCTAAACTACAGTATCTTCGTGGTATATGGTGAAAACGACGCTGAAAATAAAGCATAAATTAAGAAATGGCGATGGTTTAAAGAAAGATGGTCAAACACCAGTTTGTCCACACTCAAGTCTATGAGATATGGTTAACACAATAGCACCGCACGGACAAAGAACTGCAAGAATTGTAATTAGGTCTACATGACTACATTAGACGTGGACAAACTAGTTTTTAAACATTCTTCTGTAAATGGCCGCTATTTCTTAACTTGAGCTTTATTTCCAACGCCGTTTTCACTTCCATACCACCAAGATCTTGTAGTTAAGGAATATCTTAAAACAACTTCAACATGTCTCTTCAATTTTGAAAAATCTGCTTCAGAAAAAGTGTGAACTTTTTTTGGACCACCCTGTAGTTCGTGCCCGAATTCATTTCTTGAATTGATTAAGCCTACCTTGTTATCTGTGTCCAGCAGAACAACAATCTTCAGTTCTTGTTCGTCCGTCAGCGCCAGCATACTGGCCTGCTTGGCTCGGTAAGGTAGGACGTGGCTTGTATCCTCGGCATTCACAGGGTCAAAGGAATCGCCGGTTATTGGGTTGAAGGAATACATCAATGTATTGCCAGATACCTGAAATCAATAGTTTAAAATGACCAGGGTCAGTGTAAAATTGCTGTACAAGGTGAGAAGAAAAAAAAAACGAAACCCAAATGTCGAGACTATTGTTTTAGTGAGTTCTGAATGTAGCACTTTGAAAATCTAGGATATGAAAGCCAAATCTATAAGCTTTTTTTTTAGTACAAGAATCATTCAAATCACTCATGTACTTTTCAAGTTACGTAATTTTAAACACAACCACCGTTTTAAAGTTCCGTCCACGGATCACAAAAAAGTTGTGCGTTCTTTCAGCAGAATGAAAACAATTCACACACATCCCTATGTGATTTGTTTTCGTTTTGCTGAAAAACACGGAACTTTTTTGTGATCTGTGGACAGAACCTTTAAACGATGGTTGTGTTTAAAATTCCGTAACTTAAAAAGTACATGAGTGATTTGAATGATTCTTGTACTACAACAAAGTTTATGAATTGGGCTTTCATATCCTAAATTTTGAAAGTGTTACATGAAGAACTTCACTAAAACAATAGTCCCGACATATGGGTTTCGTTTTTTGTACTCACCCTGTATAACAATATAATAACACTAATTCCCTTTACAGGAAAAGCTGCACATGTTCCACTTTAATAAAGGTAATATACACCATTTGCTTTTGCTGTAATTTTCAGAAATGGATGGATTTGGGGGGGGTAGTATTTCATAGCAAATACTGTTACACTGACCTGTTTAAAGGATTGTGTTTTTAGATGCTGGAAAAACCACGAAAAATGCTACTCTTGTAGTCTGGTTTCTGACCCTTCTTCAGACGAAACAGAGCAATTTATAGACGTCAGGAACTGTGAGGCCAGGGAACCAGACTAGCTGGCTTGCACCCGTTTACGGATGTGTACCCGATTGTGTACCCATAAGCTGCACTTTGACAGTTGAAAAAAGAACAGCTTTTTTGGTGAGGTTTTCCAGCACCAATGGACCAAAACATTGAACAGCTCAGTGAAACAACGTCTGCTATAATTAAAAAGCCCTCAAATCGGTCTATTTCATGAAATTACGACAAATACAAATGATCCTATGTGCCTTCAACTTCAAGCCCCACGTAAAGTCATGATAATCAATTACAAGTTACATTATCCGTGATTGATTATTGGTCAATACCCTGTCGATACCGATGACAGTGCAGTGCGGTGGATGAGGGAAGTGAGCCGTAGTCCTTCGTACAAACAGCAAGACCTGGCTATGGCCAGGGATAGTTGGGCTCTTGAGTCTGGCTAGGTAGGTACTCCAGACTAACGACCCATCTTCAGAATCTAGACCGAAGATCTGAAGAAACAACAAACCAGAAAATAAAAACAAGTCAAACAATTGAAACAGTAACATGACAACAATGACCTCTTGTCAGAGTAATGATTGCGACTAACGTTTTGATCCTAAGCAGAGGCAGAGTTCACGAAACTCTTAGACACATCTTAGGAAGGGTAACTCATCTTATCTTGTAACTCATCCTAGGATCAATTTCATTGAACTGAAGACGCGTTCAACACCTCCTAACTTACTTAGCAACACGTTCTAACTTCCTTAGCAACGCGGCTGAACCCCTCTTAACTTAAGGTTGGTCTGAGGCTCGTCTTATCTCATTAATTTGTATATCGTCTGGAAATCATTGCCTTTAAGATGAGTGTCAGCCTAGAGTTATTGTTTCGAGGGGAAAAAAACGCTGTAGAAACAGATTTGAAAAAACTTCTGATACGTGTGTGGTTTTTAATAAATATAGATTGTTTACAAAATTTAATTTTATGCCGACACCTAGTCAACTTTCTAAAATAATGTGATGAAACGGGGAATTGCTCTATCGTATCTTGTGTAGAGCTACCTTGCGTGTGAAATTTTTTGAGAATTTTCATGGCGACAGTTCGTGTTCTTTGCACGCGCATGGGAAGTTGAATTTGCGCATTTCTTGACAACTGTTTCGTCAAGCAGTAAAACAAACATGAAACAGCCACGAAATTGGTAGTTTTGATGCGTCTTGCTTAAAGTGGATTTAGTGAAATCGGTCTTAGGACGCGTCTTAGCTAAGATCGATCTTAGAGCGGGGACTCATCTCAAGTCCTAAGATGATTCGCAAGATAAGATTGTGTGAAATCGGCCCCACAAACAGAATTCTCAAGATAAGAAACCATGAAAACATCCTACCTTTCCAGAGCGACTGACTACAATGACGATCTTGCGAAGGCTGAACTCATCTCGAGTCAGTGGTTCATCCTCATCGGAGTCTGCCGCCTCTGTGTGGACCGTGGCCCCGCCCTTCATGGTTTCCTGGATGCTGATTGGATCCTGGAGGAAGGTGTGGCTGAATCGTCTCTTCAGGTGGGCCAGATAAACCTTAGGCATTAATAGTATATATTTATCATAAGTTACCTTTCACTGTTTGTTATCAGGTCTCACGCTAGTGTCAGATGTACACGCATGCCGATATGTTTAAGGGAATTTTTTTAACAGAAACATGTATGACTTTAATTACAAGTGCTCAAATGGCTCAATTTTTGGGTAAAATCCATCTATTTGGTGAAATCCTTGTGGAGACCTATTCACCTTTCGAAATTGCCTTGTGGAGACCTTTACAATCTTTTGTTTCGTATTATACCCGGGTCTCTACAAGGCATCATTTTTTAAATCACACGTACCTAATGGCGTGAAATTTGCAGTTGTAATTTTCCTACGAAGATAGCTGTCTATGAGGGGGGTCTATAGCTGTATTAGAATGAACTATTCTGCATTCAGTCATAAGCCCTGCCCACCTGTAGTTTGTGTATATTTCACACAGTGACTTGTGACCGAGTGTGATTGGGCTACCCTGGTCACCTGACCAATAGTTGTGATCTAATTGGCCGATGCACACTGTTTGATTGAAAGGTCCAGAATCTTTGATGATCTTACCTGTAGCTGGGCAAACTGTGTGCTGAGCCTCCGCAGGAACATTGAGCCAATACTCTCTGGTGGTGAACAGAATTAGACATACATCTATTATCTCACTTTAATACTTGTATACTTTCAAGATGCATCTATAGAGAGTTTCGCATCTGGTAAAATACGTGTAAGAATACGCTTAGCTATCTATAACTGTTATCAACCGTTCCATTGTTTTGCATTATGTGCACATAAGAATTAGTTAAGTGACCAATAAAAGTAGTAATCCAAAATGGCAGCCTCCGATGTAAACCTGGTATCTGCGGCTAATCCTGCTTTGAAACACAGACAAATAGCACGTATCTGCTCAACGATTCATCTTCTTTCAATTAATCGACAATTTACTATGGGTTTCACAGTGACGCTTAATGCGTAATATATCCGTGCATGATAGCAGATAGTTGCGCATTGTGTCTCATGATCCCACAAACCGATGACATATCCAGCACGCTAATTATTCGTTCGCTTGCAAAACCTCTCCAATATCTAAAAAACAATCAGAGTTGGTGAATAAAAACGAAACATAAAGAGAAGAAGCAACAAAAGATAAAAGAGGAAAACACAGACAAATTGTAGACTTACCCCGTGCTCTGCCGCCAAACTCCTCTTCAAACTTTGCCTCCGTGTCAGACACTGGTAGCTCCACCATCTCAATGGCCGCCACTGAGGCAAGACCCTCCTCCCGTTGCCAGGCAACGCGTCCTTGAAAACAAGATACCATGGAAACTATCAATACAAATTCTGTAATTTGAAGTCTAACTCCACTTATAGTCTAACTCCACCAAGGCATATTTTTATCCATTTAAATACAGAAACAAAACACACAAGTTGAAAAGTCACTTTTGCCGAGCAATTTGTTGAAGAACAAAGACAGTAAATGTTTAACTTTCCTAGACTTCTGCACTTCACAACCCTTCAGGTTTTGCAAAACCACTTTTGCTCACAGAGTTAGCGCCCACACTTCAAATTCCTTTGAGGTAATCTTCTGTGGAGTATGGATAACACCTCAAATCCTGCACAATTCTTTTGTGTGATTAAGCTCAGGGCAAGCAGGCAGATTCAGTCACGCTTCACTGCTCTCCACAGTGCTGTTTTTGTGTGCAGTGACTCTCTGTGTGACACAGTTACTTTAACACTTCATATCCCTTCACCTGAAACTGACCTGCAGGGTTTTCAAGGGTTTTACATATTGCTCTGAATATTGACTTCCTACAAGGAGGTTTATTAAAAAACCCTACCTGGTTGATTGAGCAAAGTCAGAGCATGGTCAGCCGTCTCCAGGAGGACTTTGTATCCAGGGTTAGCGCTCTTCTTATCAATCAATAAAACGTTCATCTTGGATGGGTTGCCATGGTTACCTTCCAGGGTAACTTTCTCCATCATCGGAGCGATCTCCACACCATCCTTATAGCAGCGGAAAATGGTTTCCTATGGAATGAAAAAAAAATTGCAACCTTAAAATATAGGATTTTTATATTTTTAAAAAATTTTAAGTACCAAAAGTGTTTAAAATCTTAAGAAGGGTACATTACAACTATCCTGTTGAACTTTCAGCTCAGTGGATAATATACATTTTCAGAAAACAGCGAAAACATACGCACATTTTGTTTGTCTCCTAACTGCATTCTGTTGCTATTGTACAAAAAAAATGTGTCCGGGGCACGCTGCTTTGAAACCACCTTCAATGTTTTTTTTTTTTTTCAGAACGATGCCATTTCAGGCAGAATAATTTCACAAGGTATTTGATATCGGTCCTATCCTCACTTTGAGAAAGGTTTCTGTCATTTAACCAGTTCGCGCCGGGATTATTTTGACATTGACCGGACCCAGGCGCGGGATTGTTTTTCATGAACCTCGATGCCAGACGGGTTCAGGCCGTCATCTGCGGGTAGCACACTCTGATATTTCTGGCCTCACTTGCTGCGAGTGAGTCACTGACAGATATTTCCAGCCTCGCTCATTGCTTGTTTATCTGTTATCCATTCTGAATACCGCAAAACCTTTGCGTGTATACATGTCATCCGACGTAAACTGCTTAATCCTTAGGTACTTTTCAGGGTAAGTGCAAATGATCCTACTTGGTTTCAGAGGGTACATACTGTTGTTGATGGGAGCCAGCTAGCTGCAGTGACTATTGCATTGCCGTCCAGAGTGGAACCAGTTATCTGCCATACCTTGAACAAATCAGGAAAAACAAAACGACAGCAAGAAGATGTCAGCAAAAAAGGAACCAAAAATGTTAATATCTCTTCAAAACCAGTTTCGTTACATCGTTCAAGCGAAATAATAATAGCCATGCAACCTGTATTCCAATTTTTTAATTGGCAAATTAAATAGCTGCAAACCTTTACTTTTGTTTGTTTTTATTATTAACCACATTAACCCTAACAGAACTCAACCCATCAAACCCAAACAGCATGTTTTGTTGGAATGTGTCTGGATGGGTACAGTACCCCTAAACTGACAGTCTTTTACATTGGTTTGGCACACCTCCAGAAACAAAGTCAGAAATATGTGTGTGCAGTTTCCCATATGGTTTTGGAATTTGCCAGGATGGGTATGGTTTCTAGTAAATCATGCTAGGGAGTATACAGTTTCGACTGATATTGTGTGCAGTTCAACTCGTTGAATGATTACACAGAAAGTTTGAAGTTATCTTTTCTTGTTTTTCTGTTACAGATAATTTAACCTTGACAGTCACCGGCTCCTGAGAAATAAACCTTAAAAATGGAAAAAATGCAAACATTTATCGAATGAAAAAATCGAACAAACGAACTCAAATAAGCAATATTGTCCCTCGAGAGGTTGTGCCGAGTCTATTTCTGATCCTGGGGCAAATTTCACGGCGCTGCTAAGCACAAAAATGTACTTAGCACAAAAAAAGTCTGGCTTATAAAAGCAGGTTACCAGCCAAAACTCCATGTGATGCATATTGCTCGTGATAAGCATTCAGCTGTTGTTTGCTAAGCATGAAAATCACATGGAGTTTTGGCTGGTAACCTGCTTTTATAAGCCAGACTTTTTTGTGCTAAGCAGCAAATTTTTGTGCTTAGCAGCGCCGTGAAATTGGCCCAGGTCCAAGCAGCTTCAGGACCCAACGAGCTGACAACATAAACTTACCGATGGTAAATCCTTGACGAGTGTCACCTGACCGGCGGACATCTTGAGTAGAGCGTGATGGTCCTCAGTCAACTGAAGAGCAAACTCCACCCTCCCAGACGACGGAGCAAAGAGCTGAATCAAGGTTGGGTTGGGACCGTGTTTGTCCAGGCCAATGGTCTGCAAAATAGTCATTAGGAAAAAGAATGCAGCAGAGTCAGTCACAAGTCATCACAAGTAATTACATGTCATCACAAGTCCATCACAAGGCAATATAAAGTCACCACAAGTCATAATAAGTCACATTTCAGATGAGTTGCAACAGAGTCAGTCACAAGTCAAAAGTCATCACAAATCACTACAACCACAAGTCATCAATTTCTAAAGGCATCAAAGTCAATCATAAGACATCACAAGACATCATAAGTCATCATAAGTCATCACCAGTCAACACAAGTTAACACAAGTCATTGTAAGTCCATCACTCGTCGCAAGTCATCACAAGTCATCACAAGGCAATCAATAGTCATCACAAGTCATCACAAGGCAATCAAAAGTCATCATAAGTCATCACAAATCATCATAAGTCATCATAAGTCATCACAAGTCATCACAAGTCATCACAAGTCAACACAAATCATCACAAGTCATCACAAATCATCACAAGGCATCACAAGTCACCACAAGTCCATCTCAAGTCACCACAAGTCCATCACAAGACATCACAAGTCCATCACAAGACATCACAAGTCCATCACAAGTCACCACAAGTCCATCACAAGTCACCACAAGTCCATCACAAGACATCACAAGTCACCATAAACATAAGTTACCCACAAGTCATCACAATTCATCACAAGTCACTGTTAGTTCATCACAAATCATCACAAATCACCACAGTTATAAAACAAAATCCTTGTTAGTCAGCACAAGTCATCAAACGATTTTGTCAAACATTTTTGCTCCAAAACTTGAAAAACAAAATTTCCGTTCTTTACATTATGCTTTTAATTGAAAACGTTTGCAGAAATCATTTAATTCTCCAATGTTTTGTATCTTTTTTAGTGCTCTCTAGTGAGATTTCCAAAGAGCTGAATTCCGTTTAAAAGCTGATTTCCGTTTAAAATCTGAATTCCGTTTAAAAGCTGAATTTTGTTAAATCCATTCCGTATTCCGTGAAAAAAAAATTCAGTAGCCCAATTTAATTCAGGGGAGGGGAGCACAGAGAAGATAACAGCCATTTCCGTTTAAAATCTGAATTCCGTTTAAAAGCTGAATTTTGTTAAATCCATTCCGTATTCCGTGAAAAAAAAATTCAGTAGCCCAATTTAATTCAGGGGAGGGGAGCACAGAGAAGATAACAGCCAAACGACGTTGGATACGAGACGCACCTTCAACGGCGTGGTAGAAAACACGTTGATGTTCTCCAGCGAAGCGACTTGCAAGGAGTTGGTGAGGGTATCGACGCACACAAACTGGAGCGTGGATACCAGTATGCAACTGGTGTCCTGCAGACTAGCCCAGGCTGCTTGAAGAGATGCCTACGAAGGGAAATATGACATATACATGTATTAATATTTCATATGTAATATATATATCACATTATTCAATTCATAAATGTTACACGATTCATATATTACATTATTCATTTCTAAATTTTTGGCTAAAATGATATCTATTTCTTCGCGGTTGCAAATTTTCTGCCCCTTCTTTCATCTAATCCTTACAGAGTTTTCATCATTCAAAAATGACTTTTGCAACCTAAACCAATGTTCTATATTTCTAATGACTCTATCTTCTGTAAATTGGAATAGTATTTTTTGGTAAAAAATGCAATTTTCTTGCTGATTTTCCAGAAAATGTAACGAAAATCATTGTGCTTTCAAAGCGTTTTGCAGTGATCGCCATCTTGATTTTTCATTTTCGGCATTTTGTGACGTCATCGTCATTTTATCCCAAAAGTCACAAAAATAAATATCAAATCTCTGCCCTCTTTCCACAACTTTCCTGTTGGATTTCAACATCGGTACTTGGGTTGAACCTAATAAATGGATTTCTTTCTCCTATTCGCTCCGTTCACAAGTACCCCATCATCGGCAAAGAAAGTACAGTTGGGGGTGACCAACCGACGCCATCTTGCCTGACTGCAATTTTGCTGCGTCGCGCGGCCGTAGCACTGTGTGGACATAGTACAAATCCCCTGGTGTACGTGCATCACACACAAGGAACGGTGCGCGTCAACCAGCTAAATGTCCCGCCCATGGGACGTCGTTGCTAGGTAAAAGGGCGCCCTCTTTCGTTGGCGCACGAAGCCCATACACCACAATCACCAATTTCTTATTCACAAAGCAACCTATGTGTATCATGTCTGCATTTAGGCTGGTTACTTGCCTTATTCTGTAGGGCACCGTTCACTGCTGAGTACTTGAGTAGATTGAAGTGTGAATTGGGAACCAGACCCAGTGTGTACACTGAACTGCCATCGGAATACAGCCATTTGTAATTTGTCCTGCATACAAAAGCACGTCAAAAAATAAGTTTTTAAATCAGTCTTTTTTTTGGAAATTTCAGTAAATGCAGTTATGTAGAACTCAATTAACCCTAACCTCCCAAATCCTCCAAAATCTTCTTTGCAAAATGGAGGGTTTTGCATGATTGAGGTAATGTGGCAAAAATGGGTGACGTCTAAACACGCTAATCCCAAAAACCCATGAAGTCTGTGGAGGCAGACCGTGTTTTGATCTTGAACTGGCCGTTGTGCCTATTGTTGTACAATTTACGCTCCAGTGCACACCCGTTGTGTATTGAAACTTATGAGATTTCGGCAAAATATATCGTACAAATACTGTTGGAATGACTCTTGCGAATCGTGGCATTTGGCTGCATATCAGAAGTTGGCTGGAAATTGTTGCCTTTTTGTCCCGGCGCGAAGTGGTTAATATCTTCAAATTTTAAAAGTTTAACAGCAGGCAATGATTTTCTTCCTAATAGTGTTTGGTACCCAGCACTTTCTTTACTTCGAGCAGGTTTTCCCCTTTAAATGTGTTGTTTCCTTCAAGCCTTTAATCTACTCAAAAGTTGAAGGAGAGTAAATAGATCAAGACTTACGTGGCTGGCAGTTGCTGATCCCAGATTTGTTGACCATCTTTTAGTGAGTGTACGTACAGGTTGCTGCCTGATAACACAGCTAACGATGGTAACTCATCATTGTTGACAAAGACGGCATCGGCATCACTGTAAACATTGACAAACACAAAAGCAGTAAAGTCAAGTCTGTCACGAGCCAATGTGGCCCATCAGGCCGGCGTTTATCTCTAGTTTCCTTGGCATGAAACGACTGAGAATATTTCTACTCCCCCTGGATGGGATGCTAGTCCATCGCAGGTTACTCCCCAGCTAATGCTAGTACCCATTTATACCCCTGGGTGGAGAGAGGCAAGTGGGGATAAAGTGGCTTGCCCAAGGACACAACATATGACCAGCAGCTGGATTCGAACCCCTGACCCTCTGATCATGAGTAACAACCCTAACCACTAGGCCCCCCCCCCCAAATAAACACAAACTTAGGAACTTGGTTATTAATTTAAAAAAATCCCATTACTATACTTGTTCAAAATCTTCTCAGTGAAATGATGCTTTTGTAGTAAATGTGGCACTTTGCCACACACACCTCGTGTAAAGACGCTCAAGAAATTTACAGTCTTTGTGAGAAAGCTTTTCACTTACCCGTGTGACTCTTTAACGGTCGCCGTTTCAGTTGATGTCGCCACTTCCCATCGTAAGAAACCCGATGAAGGTTCCCAAGAGCGCAGAACATGTCCACCGCCTGACACACTGATCAGATCTGGTAGGGAGCAAATACAACAATGAGGCGCTGTGACAACGCATTGTGCGGACCAACTCTAGAAAAAAATCCTGTTTACTGAAACAATTCATGAAACTATTCATATTAATACAATATGTTACAACGCTCCATAGGCATTTTGCTAAGATGCAACCTCAATCCTCCAAAATCCTCCAACTACCTCCACGTAAAAATTGCATACAGCCTCAATCCTCCAAAATCATCCGTTATTTCTTGAATGTGGTCCTTGGAGGGGTGACCACTGCCTCAATTCTGCAAAATCCTCCAGCAATCACTGTCAATATGTTGAGGCAGAGCCAGTGACATCCTGGAGCAGTGTGGAGGATTTCAAGTATAATCGAGGCCTAAATTTATGCACGGCTGGGCATAAACAACACAAGGTCCGGCCCAAGACCTTGACACAGTGCATCCTCCAAAATCAGCCACACATTTTTGCCATGCAGCCTCAATCCTGCAAAATCCTCCATTTTACAAAGATGATTTTGGAGGATTTGGGAAGGTTAAACTAGGATACTCCATTCTTTCTAGCTGATCGTTATCTTACCTTCATTGTTATACAACAAAGCGTCGATCCGTCCAGTGGGACCCGGCTGGAATATCTGCCTCCAGGTCAGGTGACCATTGCGCGAGTTCAACGCAGCGACAACGTTAGACTCTGTTGCTACAAAGATGTTTCGTTTGCTGCCTCCTTGTTCAAAGTACAAAACCTTAGCTTTACCTATAAACTGCTGGCGCCTGCAAAATAAATACAAAAAACACACACTAATTTATTATTCAGCTCAGTCAGTCCTTAATCCTCCAATTTCAATATAATTTTGCACACCCCCTAGGAAGTTGGGGTTGTTTGTAGGCCTATAGTTGTAAGTTATGATCATATCTGGCCACGGTTGTGATCATATCTGGTGCCTCATTAAAAAGTAAATTATGTTTCTATTATTTTTTTAAATAGCACTTTAATTAAAAACAAATCATTGAACTTTCCAGGATTAAACTTGAAAAAAGCAAAAATAGCTTGACTAAAACTGTCAATTTAATATTTCTTAAGGAAAACCTGGTTTAAAAAAGAGGCGATCGTGTAGTGCAGGGCCCGGTTCCTATAAGGGAACAAAATCCACTTTAAAATTATTGAAACTTCCAAACTAGTTGGGGACATTCTCAATAAACAGGTATGTCATAGATAGAGGGCAGGATTTTGATTTTTTTAAAGGGAAATTTGGGGGTAAAATGACGATGACAGCGCGGCAACAACGCGCAACCCAAAGATGGCAATTACCACGTGATGTACCGTGAGCATGCACGGCGCGCTGAATCGCAAGGCACAAACCGTGCATGAAAATCTTGATTTCTACCCCAAGAATCTGTTCAAAATTGCAAAACGAATGTCCTTAGAATTGAGAAAAGTCTGCTTTTGATTGTGTAAAGGTGAATTTTGGGCAATAAAAAACATTTTTGACTCTGATTTGATTGAAACAAAACAGGGGCCCTACACTTCACGATCGCCAAAACAGAAAGAAAGAACTAAAATAAATTAAAACAAATTTTCAATTAAAAAAAACACCCGGTTTTTATACTTGCACCCTAGAGGGCGCTATTCAAAAGTCCTACCTCCCCTTGTGGCCTTGACCAACACTCAACAGAAAATCTACTCAATCTTGCATATTTAAGCCTTATTAAGGGTAACTTACCAATCAAATTTCCCCACTTGATCCTCATAAAGAGAATTTACAATCCCAGAAAGTCCTAGCAACAAAAGCAGCAGAAAAGCTGCGTTCATGATGAAATTATATCGGGCAAAATGCTCCGATACACGATCAAATCGGCAAAATCACGCTGGCATATGCAAAGTCTGGCACCCATTTCTATATACACTTTTAAGGCGATAATATTTTACACATAAGGGTACCAATCTAACCTGGATTCTGACAACCTCATGTGCAGGGGGAGTATCGTTATACCGTTCATTTACATTGACTGAAAGTGCAGCTGATATCGCATGAGAACGGGGTTGAAAGCACCTTTAGCCCTGCATACAAAAACACGTGTGATGAGCACTTGAGACTTGTGTTGCATAAAAAAAGTAATTATTTGTTTTAAATCGGGTTTTATTTGAAATTTGTATTCGGTGCCAATGGAGAGAGAAACAATTCATAATGTAGCCCAACTTCAGTGCCCTTAAGGTTTCAAGTTCATCTTGTTCCGTGTTCAACTTCAACTTTCAACTGACATGAGTGACAACATGTTCAATAGTGTACTGTTCAACTTCAAGTTGACTACATTTTTGCAAATTTTGATATTTTTGGTAGATATACCTGAAATTGTTGAACCATTGTGAAATAAAAATTAAATGACTGAACATGCTCATATTCATCATGGTCACACAATGTACATCGTTTTTCGTTTCTTTTTTGTTGAAAAACGGGCCAGTAATTTTGGAAAAAGAAGAGGATAGTCATTATAGTACTACAGCAGGCCTAACTGTACTTGTGTAGTTTAGCATGGAGGATGTGTTATTATTCCTCCATGAGTTTAGGACCCCGTTCCATTTAATAAGAGAACGAAAAGACACTTTTTTTAGTTCAATGTTTTGGGACATAATACCTCAACATTTGGCTATGATACAAGAAGGAAAAGTCGCTTTATGTGTTTGGATTCATTTAACAAGTCGAAAACACTAAAATACATGTAGCTCGCAGAGATACCATGTTGAATATCAGCTCGTTTAATTCAGTGTGTTTTTTTTGTTAATTTTAATTTGCATAACAATTTTTAACCTGTCCTGCGCACAGCATGAAGAAACAATCGCACAGAATGACGAAGAGTGAGAGTACGACAGTCTCATCGATGGAGGAGGATTTGGAGGAAGTTGATGAGATGGAAAGCGATGATGAAGCACCAGAAGCCGTCTCTTTCAATCAGGGCAGAAAAGAAGCGTTGGAATCAATATCCCACGCACTACAAGATCTACAGAGGTATGCAGTCTAGAGCATGGTTTTATCTTTAGTCTCGGTACAAGAATTGAATTGGTTAAGGCGCTGTTGTGATAGAGGGCACTATTGTTGGGCGTGTTCGGTCGATCTGTGTCATCGGTTGATCGCGCTGGTAAATCATGGCGGATATCTCAGACTATACTGACTTTACTGATGAAAAAATCCTCCAGAGCTGTGAATTACATGTTGAAAGAAAAGGTGTTTAACTGATGCTATCGACTGATAGCATCATGATCGACCAATAGTGCAGCACAATCGACCGATAGCGTAGCACGATCAACTGAAAGTGCAGCGCGAACGACAGACCGTGCAACACGATCGGCCGATAGCGCAGTGCGATTGACCGATAGCGCAGCGCGATCGACCGATAGCGCCCAACACTATCCTCAAGATGAGTCAAATCAGGTCTTGAGAAATTTAGGCACCCAGACCCAAGAACTTCCGAGCATACGTCACCAGTGCGCATCAGTTGAAAATAATGCCAGGGATGGAAGTCGGGTCCATCACAAGGCCAGTCACAAGTCCAGTCACAAGTCCAATCACAACTCCAGTCACAAGGAACAGTAGACGAACAATAACAAAGGCATGCCTTTGTCAAAGCTCATTTGAATAGCTTGTGAGTTGAATTGGGACTGGAGGACTTGTGATGGACTTGCAGGGACTTGCGATAGACTGGACTACATCTCTGAACAGCGTAGATGGGGTACGCTGAGAATGTCTCGGGTTTCTTCTGTGGAGTATGGATAACACTTCAAATCCCTGCACAATTCTTGTGTGTGGTTAAGCAACAATTCATAAAGTCAAATGCATAATTGACAGGTTGATATTGTGATACTGAAAATTTCGTTTTCTAATTTGTCATCGACTGATTGTTTTCAGAGTGAAGTTGAAGGCTAAAGAGAGACGTCGAGATCGCGACAAACTCCTCAAGGAGCAGAAACAAAAGAAGAAGGTGTCGTTGAGTAAGGCACGCCTCCCTCCTGAGTTACTGGACAAACTTGCCCAACAACAGGACTCGACGTTAGAACAAAGGTAGCGTCAATTGCGGAGATTTTTATCTCTGTTTGTTAAGCATTTTTGTGTCAAATCATTCCTTCAACATCTTAATACTTTTGCCAGTCCAAGAGAGCCAGCCTTGTGTTCTTTTTGTACCTGTCTCACTGACTGACTGACTGACTCCCCTTCACTTGTGAGCTGGGCAGTGCTATCATTAAGCGTAACTCCCTAGGCCTTTTTGTTAGGATGTAGCCTCAATCCTGCAAAATCCTCCATTGTTTCTTGAATATGGTCCATGGAGGGGTGACCACTGCCTGAATCCTGCGGCAGAGACTGTCAATATGTTGAGGCTTGGCCAGTGACATCCTGGAGCAGTAGGGAGGATTTCAAGCATAATCCTGTCCTACATTTATGCATGACTGAGAAAAAACAACACAAGGTCTGGCCCAAGACCTTGACAAAGTACATCCTACGAAATCAGTGACGCATTTCTGCCATATAACCTCAATCCTCCAAATTCCTCCACTTTGGCAAAGAAGATTTTGAAGGATTCAGGGCGTTTAGGGTTAAGGGTGTGCATTGAAACAGGCACCCAAGTACCCCACAGCTGATGTCACCGTTGTTCCAGATTATGGGATCAGGTACCTGTGACCAACTATACAAATTACTTAACAACTTCTCAGACTATGAAAAAGAAAGGTTTCGAATGCCCTTTGTGGAGAATTTTTCGAAACGAAAACCAGGCTACATGGAAAACCACACAGCTTTCACATTAAGTTGCATTTTACCGGGCAACAGATGACGCTTGCATTTTGGGGTTTGGTTTCTTTTACGGGTATCTGGGTACCCATGTTTAAATTCACGAGGGTCCCAAGTTACCGTACTATCCGTAAATGCACATCACTGTTCACTCACGGGGCCCCCTTCAATGGAGAAACCATTGTGCATGCTATTGTACAAAGCAACTGCCCCGTGACGGATTATCTGAACAATAGTTAGCACAATGCTTTCGCCATGGGAGGGGGCCATCGTGATGAGGTGCAGAGATTGGTCTGTAAGACTACCCTATAACGCCAATGAATGGGCTAAATGCGGCACATCATGTAGACCAGATGCATGAAAAGACTTCTAGTAAATAGCCATTCTTATCAACTGAATATAATTTTTATGCACTCTACGTCCAGCTAATTTTGTGAACATTCCTTTTTTTCTTTTAGTGAGAAATCACAAGACCAACCACAAACGGAATCCAGCCCTACAGAGGAGACAACAGATCGTCTCAGAGAGGATGATGAAGACAGTGACTTTGAAGACTTTGATGACTTGGACGAAGAGAAAGATCCATCGACCATTCAAATCATCCAGAGATCCAAAGTACACCATCCGCCTCCCAACGAAGCTGCTCGTCAGTTCCTGCAGAATCAGTTGTATGGCTCAAGAATACCGCGAGAATCCAGTAAGTGTCTCTGTGATATTTGCTGCCGAACAATGGACCCTCTTAGCCTGTCAATCAAACAGTGCACATTGACCAATCAGATTCAAACCCTTGGTCAGGTGACCACGGTGGCTTGTTGAAACTCGGTCAGTCAGGGCACGTTTTTTTCGGTACAGATCCAAATCCTGATCCTTGGAAACAGTAACCGTGCTTTTACAAGCAAAACTGTGCCCAATCCAGATCTCAAGTCGTGTGAGAAGCCAAACATAAACATGGAGATGGTTGATGTTGTAGGTTGTTTAGTTAGTTTTGTTAGTTTCGGATCTCGAGGTGATCCACCTCTTGAGAAGGACTCCCGAGATCTGTGATTCAGATCAGCATCCAAGCAAAACAAACAAACATATCCCAAATCTGGAACCAAGCAAAACAAATGAACAGATCCTGGATCTGGATCCGGATCCGAGCAAAACAAACAAAAAGATCCCGGATCCGAATCTGGATCTGAGCAAAACAACAAAAAGATCCCGGATCCGAATCTGGATCTGAGCAAAACAAACAAATAGATCCCGGATACATATCAGGATCCGATCCGAGCAAAACAAATGACAGATCCCAGATCCAGATCAGGATCTGAGTAAAACAAGCAAACAGATCCTGGATCCAGATCTGGATCCGAGCAAAACAAACAAACAGATCCCGCATCCGGATCTGGATCCAAGCAAAATAAACGAACAGATCCTGGATCCAGATCTGGATGTGTGCGAAACAAACCGGGCCTAGCACGGCAAGAAATGTACAAAAACCAAGAATTTGGAAGAGATAATGGCCAACTTGAGAAAGGTCCATTCATTTTGAATGTCTAAAATCCCCGAGAATTCTACTTCCAGGATAAGGTTAAGGTAAAGGGGACGAACCTGCATTCACAGGAACGCAGTCCCAATCTCTCTTTCAAAGCGATTGGGTCAGACTCAATATAATGCTGCTGCTGTGGGGGGATCGCCACACCTCCTCCACAGCGAGTATGTTACCTTTCCAGCATTGAATAATGCCGGTACCCATTTAACACCTGGGTGGAGAGGAGTAATAGAGGTAAAGGGCCTTACTCAAGGGCACAACACGCATGGCCACGGCAGGGCTCGAACCCACAATCCCACAATCATGGGGCCTGTGCTCTTACCGCTAGACCACATGTGCCCGTAGGATAACTTGATTTCGAAAATTCAGATTGGATGCATCAATGTCAATATAATAGAACTGTAGTCCTGTAGAGTAGCCATGTGTTCTGCACGCAATTTTAAAGTAATGAAGGGAGTAAGTACAGGTTTCTTTGGAAGTTTTGCAGTTTACCAGGGGGATCTTCTTATTTTTTCAGTGACGAAGAACGTTTCAAGAAAACTGAAGAGATTAGGAAAGCCAGGTGTGAACTTCCATCATAAGAAATCACTCGGTAAGTTTGAAAGCAATCAGTAGGCATGTCGATGTTTGCGATGACGATGACTTTTTTCAAAGAAGATGATTACGGTAGTATTAAGAATTATGAATGCATACATGAAGAAATTAATGAATGATCTATTAATTAAAAAAATACATTGAAACAAAATGAGACAAGCCTAGAAAAGCTGGTCCCAGAGGGCACAAAATTCTATTCAATCGATTGAGAATGGCTGTTCGCCTGTAGTCTTTTCATGTATCAATTGTTCGAATTTAGTCCATTCAATGGCGTTATGAGGTCATCCTATTTCAAACGTTTGGGCCAAGGTAAGACTTAAGCAAGTCTTATTCACAAGTGACAGTCAGTCAGTAAGGCCCGTCTCAATTCATATCTGGGACAAGTTGCGGACATTGTGTTGGGTATAAGTTGCAGGATTCTGAACAACTTCCCCGCAATCTTCCCACAATGAATCGGCGAGTCAAGCAGTTGCTAATGAAACTTTCCCCGGAACATGTCTGGGACAAATGCAGATCTTCTTCCGGACAAAGCGAATGATTCCACCCGCAAGTTGTGCCGAACTCGTCCAGAATATGAATTGAGACGGCCTAAGTCAGATACATATAGGACATAGGCTTATGCCTCTCGGGCCAGCAACAAATCCACCAAACATACCAGTTTTACTTTTGTACAATATTTGCCAATCATGAATGATTTTATTTTTCTATTTTTTTTTGCAGGAGTCAAGAAGAAGAAAGGAAAAAGAAGTCCAACTCTTGATCAATAAATTAAGCATCAGCCAATAAACTAGAAGTGCAGAAGTTTAGATTTGAAATAAGCAAGTTTCAATCTAGATCCTAATTGAGATTCAAATGAAGTTTCAGGGGTATTGGTGGGAGTGGTGGACCGGGGGGGGGGGGGAGTTCAAGGCGGATGAATTCAATCCCCGGGGAGATTCAGTTAAAAAAAACATATTTTCAGCTTTTAGTAAAATATTTTATATTGTCCACTTTCCAAGTAATTCTGAGATGACCCAAATTCCCTTTTGTAGGATCTGAAGAAAGTTTGTAACTTATTTCCATTCTGTGGAGAATTTAAAAAAATATTTAAAATTTGCATTAAAATTATGAAGTTCACCATAGGTATATAATCAATGCATGTAACTATACCACTCCATTTCTGAACTGATTTTTGTAAATAAATCTGACAAGTCGGCATAAAACGTTTTTCAGCTTTTGTGAAATTAAATCTGTTAAAATGTCAAAAGCAGAACTTACTATAATTAGAGTACACACCACACACCTTAGCCTTGATTACAAGGCTGTGTAAGTGCTGTATCAGCATGCGATTAAGCATGCATTTGCCGTTTGTTCCTCTATATGCATGGACCTTACTGATAAATCTGAAACAATCATGTGCCAAGCACATGATTGTTTCAGTTTTATCAGTATTTGGTCTTGCTAGGTACCTATTGTGGCGGGGAACTCCTCGGGCCAAACCTAAGCTAGTTGGAACCAAGTCTGACACCCATTACAGTGCAGCTGATCTTTCCGAACCCAAGCTTTCCCCAGACGAGAGACCACTCAGAGTGACCTCGAGGCTCAGGGAGCAGGTCCGTTTTGGAGGAAATGTTCCGCCGATTGTTGGGCCTAATTGCACAGTAAACCAGCAAGAAATACACCTTGACAAAGTACAACAGGATTCTCAGCACAACAAATATGATCGTAATTTATTACACAATAATCAAGAAATATACAGTAATAATTAGGACTTAAAGGGAATGTACATCATTGGGTTTTGCTGTAATTTTCAGAAATGAATTATTTGAGGGGTTAGTATAATAGATCAAATATTGTTACACTGACATGTTTGTACTTTTTTGTTCGAAAATGCTGGAAAAATCAAGAAAAACAAATATGTTCAAGTAGTCTGGTCCCTGACTCCACTAAAGATGAAATGTCTCAATTTATAGATGCCGGAAAATTGTAAGGTGAGGGAACCAGTCTAGTTGGCCTGCACCTGTTCATGAACGTGTAACCAATAGCAAACAAAATTTGGTCAGAAAAAATGGTAAATTTGGCGCAGTAGTTAAAAAATAGTTAGGTTTTTCCAACGGTGGTCGGCCGACCACCGTTGGAAATGTATACAAAAATACCACTTCTCTTGAAAATGACTTCACACCAGGTGCCATAATTTTACAGGATGCCTTACACTGTCATTTACATGCTAGTAAGGTATTTCGTAAAAACTGGGTAGTTATATTTTTCGATGTTTGCAAATGTTGTATATTCCCTTTAATAGGGCTGTATTTATTACCAGGGTCACTTAATTATAGTTGGGAGACCACCCACTGCTCACAGCAGCAGCAACGTGCACAGCATCAACAATGCACAACAAAAATGTTAGCAATGCACCACTAAGTCAGCATGCGCGACTAAGTCAGCAATAAGCAACAGTATAAGCAATACATTGTACATGTATAGGCCTACTACAATGTAAGCAATGCACACCAATGTAATAAGTAATGCACACCAATGTAAACAACGCACGCCAATGTAAGTAATGTAATGTTCTGTCCAAGGGGCTCTCAAAAGTGGTAAAAACGCGCCCTCTTTGTTGGCGCACGGAGCCCATAGTCCCTACACTTTCCTTGACACTATCAACTCTACTGGTCATCCAAATATTATCGTCTCCATCACATGCACTTTGAATAATACTTGGGATATATATACACCAGGGGTGTGAAATCTCAGCTTTAAAGCTGATTTCAGCTTTTTTTATTTTGCATTTCAGCTTTTTTCCCTCACTCGCTGTGTACAAAAGGATAGGAGATTTTCCAAGGTTCAGCTTTTTTACACCTTTTTCAGCTGTTTTCAGCTATTTTTATCAGTGGTCACTCACACCCCTGATACACGTAGTGTGCAGATGTGCTTTATTCTCTCAAAATATTTGATTTTGTTCTAGACTTGTGTGCTTTGCCCTTGAATGAAATACGCATCTAAATTTCCCCGCAGTGTTGGAATCTTTGTGAAATACATAGTCTGGGCTAATTTTTATTCACGTATTGTTACTTGTTATCCAAATCGCCCACTGACAGACTGTGCCGAGAAAGCAGAGCAGACCTTGCCATGCTTTTGGACATCCCATCACCCATTCGTCCCTGACGCTTACATGGTACCAACATCTTGTTATTTAACTGATCAAAGACTTTCATAACTTAAGTTTGCAGCATTCTTAATGTTAGTATGAATAATGCCGAAGGAATCGTATTCATAACCTAAGTTTGTATTGATGATAGTTGATCCACTTTATACAGTCTTTAATTTTGATTGTAAGGCGCCTTTGATCAGTTTTATCTGGAAATTGCGCAATTAAGCATTAATAACTTTATCGTGTGAAACTTGTTGGATGACATTTAACGAATTCAGGTTTCCTTGTTCTTATACTTATCATTCATTGACGTAATACTTTCGGACTGTTTCAAGCAAATTCGTGTCAGTACACATATTGAGCACAAGATCGGCACCAACGCTGAGGAATTCTAGCTTGGTTCGCGCCCTAGATGCCAGGGCTAAGACGTAGGTCTTCATCGTGTACTTCTGGAGAGTACCTTCATTTGGCATTATGCCAATAACCACCTGGTTCTCCCGGCCAGCGAAACTTTCTAAACCCTCAATGCGCACGCACTGGCCGCGTGCAGGCACTTCATGCGTTCCGTGAATGGCGTGGACGTTCGGAAGAAGATGGAAAATGATCAGCCTGTAGACGCCAGCATGCTGGACATCGATGATACGGAAGATGTGCTCGGGAACTGTTACAGGTCCCAGAAGGAACTCGGAAACTGCGTACAGCTTCTGGAGATTTGTCCCCTTGGTTTCTCCGTACCCCGAGAGCCTCATTTTACGATCTATCAGAATACCTATCTCTGATGGAACCCCCGAGACAGGTCGACCACTCTGTACAAAATTCTTGTAAAGTTCGCACAGATATTGCCACTTTTCTTGAAACATGCATACAACTGTGTTTCTGACGGGTGCATCATATCTGCCTTTGTCAGAACGAATTCGACGCAGGAAGAGAGGGGGCGTGGCCGTGTCCTCTCCAACAAAACAAGGGTCTGCCAAACTGATCTTAAAGGCGGAGCCTTGATCCGATAGCAGCTCTTTGGTCAGAAGGCAAAAGAACAGCACAGCATGAAGCACCTGGGGACCAGGCACGCCATTGTTCTCAATGCCACCTTCTTTCAACTGTTCATCTATGTCTCGGTACAACCTCATGCATTCCTTTTGCACAGAGGTTGTCATGAGGCTGCTCAGTGATGCTTTGTCGTCATCTACATCGTGCCGAATGAGTGTAATCTCACCAGGACTGTATCCCATGTTCGTGTATTTTTTTACAGTGGCTCTCAGCGATTCGGGCGACAACGGCGTGGCCCTCATCACCGGCCGTTCACCCTTGAAATCGTGCGCCGTCGTGGGCAACACGCCGTAACACTCCGTGGAGACGAACTTTTGAAAGAAGTTCGTTATCTCCTCGGAATTTCGTATCACCACGTTGAGAGTCACAGTCTTACCGTTGGACTCACGCATAAACTCCCTTAAAGTCTGGTAGTAGTGCAATTGCTCGACGCTCTGCGATTCGTCAGAGATGACCACCATCCTGCATTCTGGCTTCTTTCTTAGCCAGATACACAGACACTCCAGCCAGTCGATTTGGAAGCACTTTATAAAAAACGTTTTATCTATTTCTCGCACAGCCACACGCATGTCCGTGGTTAGATTCTTAGTGTCTTCCTCCACGTTGCTAGGAGGAACATCCCTCCTGTTCAGAAAGTTTTGTGTGTCGTCTAAGATGAGATATTTGACGGATTCAGGCAACGTTCCATCTTTAATCTTCCACACAATGTCGTCGAATGCAACCGAGAGACATATTTTCTCCCCACAAAGAGTTGAGCTCTTCGGAAAAACCAATTCTCTAAAAGACAACGACAAAATATACAGAGTCTGAATTAAAATGTATGGTATTGAGACATAACTTTGGGGTTACATGGCAATTAATGAAAAGTACGCAGTTTGATGTATAGATCTACGGGACCTGCATTAACTTTTGTTCAAAACTATGTCAGAAAGCACCTATATGTGAAAGACAATGTACCTATGAATCTTTTCTTGGATACCCACTTATTAGAGAAGGATGCCTACCTCACATACTTGGCCATCTGTACATTCGACGGTATGTACAAGATCTGCTCTACTTCAGCCCCACCGAGACGGAGGCGCTTGGCTCTCTCGATGCCAATGACTGTTTTCCCAGTACCTGGATAGCCCTGGATGTACACATGAGGAACCTCATTGCACAAAGTCAGAGCTTGGAGCTGAGATGGAGTCAAGAGGTTCATCACCTGGACTCCCATCAGGTCCCGCATGTACAAATAGGTCTCCGGCGTGAACGAAGCCACGGCGACAACGAGGGCGCTGACTAAGGATTGCAGCTTCTTGAAGTGCATTTGGTGGTAGCTCGCTGGCTTGTTCGCGGGTGTGTGACACCGGATGCTCTCGATAATGCCGGGAATACAGTCAGGGTCCGTCTCCAAATCAAGGCAGCAGCTCTTGACGAAGAAACGGCCTTCTCCGCCATGCTTTGTGAGACATTCTTCAAGCTCCGTGGACGCCTTCTCGGAGTATTCCTGCAAACCTATTCCTGCTGACCCTACGGTCACCAGAAAAGGAGTGTCTGTTTCTGTGAAGACTACAATGTCGCACATGACCTCTTTGGCGCATCCAGGTCTGTGAATGCCAATGTCGGCCAGTATACATTGCGACACAACACATACTCCCTTGGTACTTGCGAACCTGTCTTTCAAGGAAGTGGTGATATTCTGGAGTACGCTAGTCCCAGTGTAAGACACCAAACTGATGTAGTTCTCCGGCCAAATGTGTAGGCCTTCCTTTACTGTGAAAAAAAAACAGTGCAGAAAACAAATTATTGGATTGATTTGCCCGGCCGCAATTTTTTTGGTTTCCTGCACCATCGTTCAGTCGCTATACTCATTACAAGAACGCGTGTAACCATTGGTTTTCGGACTTTGCTTCCCTTTAAAAAAATATCCAAATCCATGTCAAAAAGAAAAAGTGAAACTTATTCAAGAGAGTAGTTGAATTTATTTCCACAGAAAAATATGTAATTTGAAAAAAGAAAAAGAAAAAAAATGGGTCACAAGAGCAGTCCGACAATACATGTACAGCGATTTCAAATGCTTCTAAAATTATCTACAATCACCATAATATTTACTACAACCACGTGATGCTTTCACGCATGCGTGTTATGTTTGTTATGCTTGAGTGTTAGGAGTGTGCTTTTACCAAATTAAGTCGCATCATCATATCTTTGCAATTACTATAGCAATCAACCACTGGATGAGTATAGTGTTATTGTGTAGGGCAGTTCCGCTACCTTGAATTAATGGTTGTTTCCGTTTTTGTATTTTTAATTCTACTTCAAAAGTATCTCACATTTAATGATAAATGCCTTAAAAATAAACTTTCATCTTCCAATGCACTTACTTGGAAACATTCGTTCTCGTATGTCCCTGTGTGAGCTTTTCAAAGCAAACACTTTGCACCCGCCAGATATGTGAGTGCTCAGCATTTCAAACTTCTCTCGCATTTCGTCACTTCGTCGTTGCTCTGTTCAAGAAACACAACGATTAAGATGATGATTGGGAAGTGCTGAGTCAACCAGGCAGCTGGCAGTTTTCAACATTCCACAATCATTTAACGTCTCCAGAATAAATCAAACGTTTACTCTAAGCTTACAATTGTTTCTGTAGAATTTGATGGCATTAAAAGGTTTGGAGTAGGCCTATATTACTTTTTTTTGAGTTTTTCTTATCTCAAAAGAAAATTAATATTGATCGATGCATTCTGCCGCATCATTACAATGGTAATAATTGATTATATATCAAGCGTTGTAACCGTATACAAATTTTAAAACTCTAACCCGACTCGCAACTTCACAATGACCAAACGGACATGCAGTTGTTTGTTGTACGTTGTGCTTGGGTTAGAGTTTAAACGCTAGTAAACGTTTAGTGCAAATATTTACATCGCTGGATACACTTTTTCAGAATTGTAATGACGACGTTGTTGATGATACAGTAGTTATGAAAATATATAGGAAACAGTATGTACGACAGAAATGTTTTTATTTGTTATTCAAAACCGTAAAATATGTACAACAGATATGTTGTAACAACATACCTGCTATCTTGTCTCTCAACATGGCTTCCACCCACTCTTGAAACTTCATCTTCCTTATCACCCTCTTCCCCTTATCATTGACTCCAAAGGTATATGATTCAGGCTCCTTCTGAAACACTCCTCCGCAAAACGGGTTGATTCGAACCTCGACAAGATGCAAGTCTCCTTCCAGAGAATGGAAATAGACATCCCAGTGCTTCCCTCGAATTGGTTGCTCATTTAATCTCCCCCATGTTTTCCGCTTGGCACAGCAATCAAGACATCGCTCGATTTCCGTCTTAGCTTCATTAGAGATCACCTGGCCGACAACTTGACACTGATTGTCTTCCACACCTATGATGACACAGCCGCCTTCATGATTTGCAAAGGCGCCAAAGTAATCAGAAACATGCTTTTCAATGTTAGCCGCCAGCGCCATCCCGTCCTTCAGCTTCTTGTATTGGACCATCTTGGATTCAGGTATCCCGACAATATCCCCCTTTTTGAGGTCCAACAGTCCACGAAAATGATGTCTGCTGCTCTGCGAATTGTCATCGACAGCCAAAGCGGCCCCCCTTTGCAATTCCACAACCTTAGCTTTCGGTAAGTGATCATCGAAGTCAAAGAAGGGACGAGTCGCTGTGCTGTCCTCCTCTCTCGATAGGATGGCTTCCACCAGGTGGTAATCTTGCACAAGCTCCGTGCTTGTATCTGTCGGCAAGCGAAGGTTGTAGTTCACGGTGGCTGGTCGGCGGCTTGGAGTGACGTAACAATACAGAAACTCTGCATCAGCAGGCTGACTGCAGAAATCAAAGCATTCCCTCCATTGAGGAGGTCGAAGATTCTTCAGGAGTTCCTGCTCGATTTGCTTCCTCCATTCGTCCAGATGTTTCTGCTCTACATCCGGATGATCTCGGTGCACATTCCTCAATGTGATGACTTCCCTGCGGTCCGAGTTGAGCGCAGCGCACACCATGCGCACAATCTCTCCACTCTCCAGTTTCCTCTGCGCTGCTCCATCTTTTGTTTTCGTCACAGAATTCATGATATGAATATTCATGGTGCTTTCCTCACCAGTAAACTTGTCCGCAGAAGCCATGTTACACCACACGCTCATGCAGTCGGGATTGGCAGATCGAAACCAAAACAGGATCTCTGAAGAAAAATGCATTAATTAAATTTGCTGGATTCATTTCCTTGAATTAATTCACATTAAAAACCCCTACAGGTTCGCGTTTCTTGAGTTACAAACGCAGAGTGGTCGGGCAGACAACTATTTCATTGAACACTGTTTAAAATTTCAGTATACATGTACATACACGTACATGCAATTTCAGGTTTGATGACGCCATCAGCTAAGATAGGGAAGTGAATACTGATTTAATTCGGAGAGGATACATGTCAATCATGCCGTAAAATAACATGAAAATATGGAAAATATATATGTATGTATTAATAACAACTAACTTCCGGTTTGATGACGTCACAGCATGAGGGATCCAAACGTCAGCATTAAACGGACACACAGAGAGGTTTCAGACCTACTTTTACATTGACATTTAAACGAAAATCAAGATTATATCTCTCAGGGTTGATTTTTCAGGAATTTTCAAAGGAAAAGAGGTCTTTTCATTCGAACTTCGATTTCATGACGTCATCATTTTTTTCACGCAAAGGTGTTGTCTGCATAAAGGTCATCACATATAGTAATTTTGAAGCAATTACCGCAATTTTTGCCACAATAATCGACTGAAAATTAATTTGTAACATTTTCAACCTGACGCTAGAGGGCGCTCTAATATTGCATGACGTCAGCGGTAATTGTTTTTAAAGTACTACTTAGCCAGAGACTTACATCGTTGAAAGCAAGTTCACATCTTTTTCCACTTTCAAATTACAAGGCACTCCCGGTGTGGACCGGAAGGAAGGTTCACGTGATAAGTCGCACACGAGATAAAATGAAGATCCTGAATTATTCTATCAATTCCCGCAAAAGTCAAGTTCAGGTTTGTCAAGGTTGATTTTATATTGATTTTCAAAGATTAAATCTAGAAATCTTTAATTGCATGTAACTTGACACCCGATGACGTCATCATAAAGTCAGAGTAATATGAACCACTCAGGATGAAGGTCGATGTAATTATGTTGAAAGTTACAAGTTCACACCATACGTATTTTGCCCAAAAAAAGAAAAGAGAGAAAGAAGATTTATCGGAACGATTTTAAACAGTGGTCGTGCCCGACCACTCAACAACGGTGGTCCATCGAGGGGTGGGGGCAATTTAGAGATGCAGCTCTGTGTATTGATGCACATTTCCTCATCATAATGGCTGTTGTTGAAGGGGAAAGGGATCCCATTACATTACAGAGGCAACGACACGAAGCCTCTACAACTTCATTGCTAAACAACACTAAAATACACTCACATGATGCTACATGTACTGATGATGTTCAATGCCGTGACATCGCTTCTGTGCTGCTTCTGTGCTGTTATGTGGGCCTTTATTTGCCTGGTTTCCAAAGAGCAGGATACATACTATTTTGCAGACAGAATTGGATTTTCCACGGTGATAAAAGGAGAATATATATATATATGTATATGACATCTGACAACCCGAGGATAGAAACTGTATAATACAACCCCGGCGCATAAATACATGTATGTCTCCAGTGCGTTTGATAGCAAACATGAGTTTTACAGTAAAACGATAGGTGTTTTTGTTCGCGCAGTTGCATTGTTCGACAACAACGTTCATAGGGCAAATTCCAAAGGTTGGCTGTTGGAAATAAAATGTTGTGTTGCGCTGCAGCTGAGAAACGACGTGCGTCAATCGTTAACGATATCAGTTTGGCAAAATATATCCATTCGTAAAGTCACCCGTGATGTCGGCGTTCTCTGCCCAGAACGACATGCCCAACAAGAACATCAGGTACATGAATTTATAGATTAGCCATAATATACATGTACAGACGATCGGTAACATTATATCATGATATTGTCCATACATGGTGGACGATTATTTATTTATGGTCGGTCATGTACATGCACACCATCATGACTCAGTGTGCAAATCTTTAGAGAAAGAAAATGCTGGTTGTCGTGAATTATTTAAAAAAAAATAGAACATAGCAAGGTCCGTACGTCAATGGCTGCATTTTACATATTACATGCAGCCACTTTACCGTCTACCGTACCTCAACTTCACCAGTTGCCAGTCAAGGTTCCCATCGGACTTATGCTTAATTTTTAAGCAATATTTTCCGCTCAACGGCACCATATTGACCTCGGTAACTGTGTGTTTGTTTCTTAATTCATTCACAGAGATTACTGCATGATTGATCGGCCCGTCGTGATCATCAGTAGAAGTTTCTCTCAGCTTGAGATGCAATAAATTTATTTTGACCATATACGTTTTATATGAAGATCATCAGCGTATGATCCCAAAGACTTCTTTAGCAGTTTTAGATGTCATGTCCGAGTTTGATCATCCTAATTCCTCCAAAGTTTGATCGTCGTTCAATTCAACCCATCAGAGATATCTGGATATCACACTACATTTAATAATGGCTCACAAGCCAATTGAAATCCCCGCCGAGGTGCACATCATGAGGAAGAAAGACGAAATCACCAGGAGAGAAATACAAGACATTCTGAAGGCCGTCAGCGCCATCTCAAATGTCCAGAGACGCGGAACGATCAAAATGAAAAACCTTCAAAGCCAAGGATGGACTAAGAAAAGCGGACATGAAAACGTGACGGCGAAACACCTGGATCAGTGGAAGAAAATTGTCAGTCAGGAGGCACTGAGACTCCTACCCCAAGAATGCATGAGCATATTTGAATTCTGTAGCAATGCACAAGACGCAGAATTCCTTTACTGTCACGTGACACCGGCTCCTAGGCCAATCACTGTTGAGTATAAGCTTCACGTGCCGTCAGTTTCCGGTAAACGAGTTGTGAGGGACTTTGATGGGGCTCTGGCTGTTCTGTTACGCACTGCGGACGACACATGGCCAGGGCGGGGAGCTAAGTCACCAGCCGACAAAGACTATGCCTCTGTGGATGGTAGTTCTGCCTCCTCCGAGGCCAACTCGACCGAACCGGCGGAACCGACTATTAGACTAAGACTGACTGAAGTTAATGCACAGGGCAAAGGAAAAGGTAAAGACGTGCCTCACGAAGATAGGCAGTTAACAGAGATCATTGAAGGCGGGATATCAAGTCATATCAGCGCTCTGGCAAATAAAAATGGAGGTAGCATCATCATCGAAGATGCGGACAGTGTCTGCCAGATAGTTGATGGGAGGATTGGTGAGAAGGACCAAGACTCCATCGTTAACTGTCTTGAAGAATGCTGCAAGAAGAAGATCTGGGGGAGGGAGAGAGTACCCCCCAAGAGAGGAGAGCAGTGGGATGTCTGCTTCCCAATCGTTAATCAAGATAACATCCTTTTCACCATCCGTGTGTATGTTTTCTATGGTGGAGTCTTCGAGGAGGAACCCGTCGCTTATACTCTAAAACAAAATGCCGACGACTCGTATGAAGTAGTCAGGATGGAGTTTGAAGACTGGTACAAGGCCATGGTGAAACAACACGAAGAAAGTAAGACACATTAAGTGAACCAAAAAATATCTAAGTTGTATAGTCTGTTGTGAAATATTTTCGGTGACGAACGGATTTAATGGTGAGAGGTGACAATTTGAGAACAAGATAGGAAGGAGATTGTGAAGACATTGATAGACATTAGGCAAGGAAGACACTGAGAAAATGAAAGGATACAAAATAAGATGGAAAAAAAATAGCGAGAATATTTTGGTAGAGTGAAGAAGTGCCCGAAGTTTCGCAAAAACCATCCCCAAAATCGATCTAACCATTCTTCATTTTTGCTAAACCTTGGCCAAATTCGTTCTTCATATACACAGTTCTAGTGAAAAAAACTCAGTTTTCTTTGGTTAATTTAAGTTACAATTTGTGATTGAGATGCTTAAAGTTTGACAAAACATGAGAGTTCCTAATAGAAAGATGGAAAAGTTGTACCTGTTCATTTACTACAAAAAAACCTAGTACTTCAGATTTTGTTTGGCTTAAAAAAATACAGAAACAGCTATAAGCTCAGACAATAATGATCTATTGAGTATGAACTATGTGGAACCGCCCATCCTGACTCCACCCCTAAAAAGGGGACATTGTTTATGTTTATTTCAGATCTTTACCTTATGCTTTAACTTTTTATGTTCTTATAGAAGAGCAAGATTACAATGACACAGAGAAGAGGCTTGAAGAGATCAAGGCGAAAGGTTCCAATCCACACTGCGTATCCAATGACAACACATCGTCCGAGCCGCATCTACTACCGACGGCTGAAGGAGGCTCCTTCGAATGATACCACAACCCCGCGAAGGTTCAGTGCAGTGTCTTTGACAGTTTACGATCATTATGAACTGTTCATCGCTAAATTAGTGTAAAATTTAGAAATATGCAAATAATTTTATTGAAATCGTATATACTGACATAGAAAAGTCTTGGATGTGACTGAGACACTTGTTTCGTTTTTAATTTCCAAATAAGACAATATTTATGGCATAAATATTTGGCTTACCAAATCGTTGGCTCCATATGATTTGGGTCTCATGGCTCATATGTAGCGCGATATCTGACAGAGGGAACCCCCCTCTTTTGTGTTGGTCATTGTGTTACCAGAATCTCAGGAATTCTTTTGAGATATCTAGGGGGATGTGTTAGGTAACAATAGTCTAGGGTTTGCATAGGGTTTGGCGAGATTGGGGGTACCCCTTCGTCTCAAATCGTGCTGGGTATATCATGACTTTGGCCGGGAGCTCTTCAATATTATTCCGCGGCCACCCAACCGCAAGGAAACATTAATGAGGAACAAATGTACCAGATATCACTGCTACGCATGAGCTTCACGCCTGTACAGTCCTTAGGTAAATCAACAACAACTAGTTGATTCAGTTTGGTTGGCAAGATGACAGCCTTAGTGTAGGCCTACACACTGAAACACTGAATTGACCAAAGAAGGCCGTGTACACACGGGAGAAAAATCCAGGAAATAATGACAATTTCTGATTAGTACTATATAATCCCTACTATCTAGGCCTAGTATTAAAATAAAAAAGACCAAAAATGAGAAGAAATTTGAAGGAATTTTTTTTTTAAACTAACATTAAAAATATACGAAAACATCAAAAAAGGAAAGAATGTAGTATCCAGACGCCACTTCTTTGGTTGTGCACATAGTCTATGGAGAGTCAGGTGCTTTTTCAAAGTATTTTCCAACAAAATTGAAAGTGTTTCTCAATCCGAGATACATGTATTTTTTTGCAATGACTGAGGTTTCATTGAGATAATATGTGATGAAAAAAGTAGTGTCAGGATGCAACATTCTTTCCATTTGTTTATAATTTTTCTTTTTTATTATTATTATTTGTTTTAATAGTTATCATTTTCTTCTGCCAAATAATAAAGACAAGAGCTGTAAAATAAAAAGGCGCTGTAAACCAGCCTGGTGATGTAAAATTTGCCACATTATCATGTTCAACCACCACGTTTGTGACCAGACTGGTACCTTGAGTGCTGAAAAGCATGTAAAGCAAAATCAGGCCAACTCACTCTTCAGCCAGCAAAGAAAAGGTCCTCAGTATTTCACCAACCAAGTGTGAAAACTCAATTTTATTTTTAAAGAAGACTTTTCTTCAATAATTTGCACATGAGAGGGAAGTCAAGTGATTTGAAAATGAGGCTGAAGACTAGACTGGTACATGTCCAACCATGGTCCAACTGTTTGAAAAGACTGACCTCTTCATTCGTCATTTGTCATTAGTCTGGTGACTGAGTATGGGGAAATGTGTAGAAATAGAGACATTTTACTTCCAGATGTTTCTTTTGGCACAATTGATTGATTCAGTACTTTTCTTGTGTTGCATGTTTTCAATACCTTCATACACAGTATTGAGAGTTCCAAATTTTTGGACTAGCTTGTGGCCATACCATGAAGAGTTGGCACGGAGTGCTGCTACTTGCTATACCGGGATACACTCACCTTTTTGAGGCAACGTAGTTTCCAAACTCCAAAGGGAATCCCATCATCACGCTGCTTGAAATAGAATGACGTGTTCAAAATAGTGAACAAATTGACGTTACAAAAGCAATAGCAGAACGATTTAAATGTAAAAATCATCTGTTTATCTCACACGTGGTCAGAGTCCAAGACCACTGGTTCTTGCATCTGGTTAGCTAACCACGTGTTGCGCCTGCGCCAGTCGCGCCACCACGCCGCCCAATTTTAGGCTGGCTCTAACCCTACCTTTCTTCTTTGCGCTACTAATCCGTATAGTGGTAATATTAAACGTAGATGGGAACCGCACTAGACATTCAACGTCATCATCCTCAGACATAGACCCCAATGGTAAACGCGTGTGCTTCCATACTCCCAACTCTCCGAGGTGTTTGAAACACCCATGACGTTAAAGCTGAATTCATCATCTTTCATTTTCTGTTCAATTTTTACGGGTAATCTGCTAGCTTTTGGGAGAAATTGCCACCCGAGGATACGGTGGTAAAGCGAATCGCCATTTTGAAAAATGATGCCTATACACTCCTTGTCAAATAGAGCCTTTTTAAGGGCCCATTCCATCAAATATTACAGAAATGCCAGCTGGCAGTCATGCACAGCTTCTGCCCTACTTTTCTACGAACCTTCAAATCCATGCATGGCCCACAAAATGCTCTAATGATTAAGCAAAGTAGGATGCAAGTGGACTTAAAAGTTGACTGTATTTGAAGTCAAAAGGTAGTTGAGTTCATTGCGACTTTAGAGGCTATAATTTCAGCCCAATATTTTTGAGTTTTGCAATTGACTAAAAAGCGGTCAATCTCAAACTAAGATCCAATCGGAAACGGGCGTTTAGTCAGTGGCTACGGCCATGGCTACGGGAGTCCCGTGAGGATCGTGATGGCCCGCGGTTGATGAACGTTCGATTAGCCCCGCTGTATGTTGCTAACCCGTCTGCCTTTACCCCTGTCGACCCGGGTGTGCTAATTTAAACGAACGCATATGGGAACTTTTTCTGCCAATGGTTAGGCCACATGATGGCGCCCTTTAATGCGCCGTTAAAGTTCCTGTTTACACTTCGTCATGTGGTGGCGCCCTTTATCTCGCCGTTAAAATTCATGTCTAAAATCCGCCACATGATGGCGTCCTTTATAAAGACCGTTAATCAACGAATATATAAATTGATTAGGCCTAGTCTCTGAAAGTTGGTAGCGTCAGTATCACACTGGGAGGAAGGTACACTTATCATAATTTATGCCTACGTCACCAAGTTGATGAGCAGGTCGTATGACGTCGCTAGAACATGAATTATGCAGATCCGTGCCAACGGCCGCGCCGACGCATGGAAGCCATGCGCCAGATGAAAGCGCTGGCTTGTATGCAAACGATAGCCTAGCAATACATGCATTCTGTGTCAATTTCTTCGTTGTTCCAAGCAGTCAGAATGATGCACAATAAATTGCTCTTTTTTTGACGAAAGCGGTATTTAGGGTCATTGCGTTTTAAATGGTGATATTATTTGAACCATGGAGAAATGAACGGACTGAGCAATTTCAGTATTTTTTTATCTAAAAAAAAATAAATTCTGGAATAGCTAGGTTTTCCAGTCATTTATACTGATTTTGGTGCTACACATATTTTTTTTTTTTAAATATGAAATATATTTTTGGAGGTTTGGGTTCAGCTCTTTTTTTTAACTCACCCTAAATAAATGAAATGAGAACTGTTTTACACTCAAGGCTGCTGCCAGGCTTCTGCACAGTTTTCAGGAGAAACCTGATCTCAGTCCACGACGCGACGCGGCGCTAGTATTTGCCGCGCATTGTTGAAGCACGTGTTCACAACATGCAGCTAGCTGCTACAATCATCCGGGACACCATGTGCATACGTACTGCATAATTCATGTTTTCACAGTGATGCCAATGACCTCCTAGCGAAATGGTGACGTAAGCATATATTATGATAAATGTAACTTCCTCCCAGTGTGATACTGACGCTACCCTGAAAGTTGACCTCTGTTCCTCCGCTCCAAGTTCAATGTTTACGCATTGCGTTTACTAGACAACCGTGGTAAAATGGCGGTTTGTACACGTGGCTCTTGAATGAATAAATTTACATATTTTAGCGCGAAAGTTGAATCTTTCTTGCGATGTGCCGCGTTTCCCCATGGTTTTCATATGGCAGTCAATGGTTGATATATTTTTTTAAGCCATGAACTTTGTGATTGACCTAAAATCAAACCCCAAAGAACGCCGAGCCGGAGGCGAGATTGAACTTGAAGTCTGTGCAGAGCAAACGGACAAGGAAGAAGACAAGATGGGCAAAGGCAGCCTGCAAGAAGCCTTCATGAAATTCAAGAAAAAAAGACAGGTAAGCCCACAGTTCAGTTGTTCGGAAACATTCATAAACGCAGTGATAAATCCGCTTTATAAATCGCAAAGCCAGTGTCTAGTTTTAACATACATGTTACAGCAGTCATCCGTCTGGTTCCCTGACCATGCTGACCTGACAAGTGACATGCCTGACAACAAGCCTAATTAAATGGCAGGACCATTGGCTCTTGGAACTACAATATAGACTGTCATGACCGTCATGACATGTAGACTATCAAGCGAATGGTTCTCGGACTAGGCCCTATTTCCCTTTTAAAATTCTTTACATCTACATGCACCTGAATGAAGCACAATAAACTTTTTTTTGTTGATATTTGCAATGTATACACATCCTGGGCATGCTGGGCATGGCAAACAAGCAATTATGCAGTTTATGCACAAAAACCTATGGGGACAATGAACAAGTCAAAACTTTAAATTTGTATTTTCTTCTGAAATTTTCCAAATTAACTGATCATTGAAACACCAAAATGCATAGAATATAAGAATTTGAATTTGTAAATGAAAAATTCACTTTTTAAACTTTAAACAAGAAAGAAGAAAAACAAACTTGAAATTTCTTCCAAGGTACCAGTCATCATGCCCAGTAGACCCATTGTGATTGGTCAGTGTTGGTTGGAGGTGTGAACTTCAAATCTTGATTCTGATTGGCCAATATTGGTGGACACAGTCCATGTGACCATAAGTTCATAAAACTGGTATAGCATTCCACTGAACTTTCTTCTTTCTGATAAACTTTAGGAAATAAGTTTTAAAATAGTTAAGATTTCAAATTACAAATGCAGCAGTGTGTGAAAAGATGATCCCTAAATTATGGTAAAGAGAAGAAACCCAACCTCGTTCCCAGGGTGTCGAGCAGTACGCTTCCACCCCTACCTGCTCTCTCACCCTGGTATTGGATCATTTGCAAATATCCAATTTTTCTATACGTATGCAAATTAGGAATAGTCTGGTGCCTAGCTGTGCTTTAATCAGCGTTTGTTTGTGTATGCGGTGTCTGGATAAAAACAGAATCACTTTGTCGCGGTATGAGTTACGAAAATTTGATTTTTTTTTTCCTTCAAAAATTTAAATGTTTCAATGGTATCCAGCCAATATGCAGTGTCACATTACATATTATAAGCAAATTGGAAAGGAAAATATTATTTTGAGAAGGTGTGGCCATGGGTGTAATAAGCACAATGAACATGAAAACATGTACGTGTAATACACGTTGGGAAATAACAAGTACATGATATAAAAGCTAATTGCAATTATCAAATGGGCCAATTTCACGCCACTGCTGAGCAAAAACATTTGCTTAGCACAAAATAAGTCTGGTTTATAAAAGCAGGTTACCAGCCACAACTCCATGTTTTGCTTAGCATGAAAATCACATGGAGTTTTGGCTGGTAACCTGCCTTTATAAGCCAGACTTTTTTTGCTAAGCAAATTTTTGTGCTTAGCAGCGCCGTGAAATTGGGATACAGGAGGCAAGTTTCAAACCCAGGGGTTACTACATGTATTGGAAACGAGGTTGAAAAGAAAGTAAGCACTGGGGACAAGGTTGGGAGAATCAAAATGAAAGTTGTAACTGGTAAACGGCCCTGTAGGTTTGTGCACAAATTGTCTAATTTGTTTGTCATCAATACTCAAGATGCATTGTTTATAAAGGTATAACAAAAAAAAGTTCCTTTTGAGAGTTTCCCAAAATGTAAACATGGTCCGGTTCCTGCCTCCTACACTCACAGTGAGAGCTATAGGGGACAGAGAACCAATCTAATTTAGACTCCAGAATTATAATGTACATCAAGGGCAAATCCAGATCACAAGGTTTTTTTTGGGGGGGGGGGTGCCAACAATTTTTTTTGTTCCCCGATAAAGTGGGTTAAAAAATGTTCCACCCCAAATTTGATATGAAAAGCAAGGGAATGGGGTACAAATGTATTGCTTTTGTTGAGTTCTGTGGGTTGTGTGTACAGTGGTTGCTTTTTTTGTGACTTCACAAAAAAACGGAGTTCGGTTTTTCTTTTTTTGGGGGGGGGGGGGGGCGCCTCGGATGCTGTGGTTGAGCAAAAGTTTAAAGGGCCATGAGATGTATTTTCCAAGGAACACATTTTGTGCAACTTTCTACTTTTTAAATGTATGAAAACAATTCGACGACCCTTTTGGGTTAATTTCATTGAAAAGTGAACTTCTTTTAAAACATTTAAAATGTTCCTTGCTTTTCCGGACAACTGAGGGCGCTGTTGAATATGGAAACTTGCATTAGCATAAAACCCCAAAAGCACCAAAATACCCTTAAAAAACAAGTGTGATGTTATCAAGCCAAATCAGTCGTTTTTCAGGAATTTTTATTTGGAGATGTAGGACAAAATAGGACCACTTCATCACATCTCTTGGTGTTCCGACTTCCATAATTTTTGAACTAAAGATGGTATCAGCATGCGGTTTTCACAGTAGTAATATTGTGCTATTTTCAAATCTGTAATAAAAAAAAAATTGACCAGGGTAGACAAACGACTCATGTAAGCGTGATCGCATCACAAATATTGAAAATAGTGTATTTTTAAGGATTGCATTTTAAAAAAATACATTGCATGTTAATACTCAGAAAGTGAAAATCCAGCAAGTTTTAAATCAAATCCATGTTCATAAAATTACAAAATTGTGAGATAAATGCTTTCCCCCACCCTATCCATCCCCACCCCTTCCCCACCCCTTCCCCACCCCTTCCCCCACCCCTTCCTCCTCCCCACCCTCCGAGAGAAATTCCCCGAGCTTTAATGATCTGTACTTTTAGGTCAAATAGTGTAAGCACTTTGCTGCAGCTTGTTATTTTGTATGGAGATGTTAGTATACAAAAAGCCAAGAATTCAAAAAGCTCTATACATGTACTTTATGTACATTGTCACAGTTTAAAGAATTCCCAGGTAAATTATAATGACTCACCATCACGCAATAACGCAACATAATTCAATCACGTCGCGTTTCGAAATTGTCCTTTTGTGTTGACAACCAACCATAAACAGCAACGACTTGTCGGTTTTATGAATGAAAATGAAAGTTGGCTGTAGTGAACTACGTATGTGCATACATGACCACCCACTGAAAAGGTCTGTCTGAGATCCCCTCTTCTCAAATGGAACTGTCCCGATAGCTCAGACACTACTACAGATTACATTGAGTTGTGGCAGACAGGGCTGTTCCATGTTAAGTCTGAAGGTAAGCAGTATCCATTCTACTGAGTAACAGCAACATTTTAAATGTATTAGCCTAATTACAAAATTCCAGAGACACAGCTGTGACGCATGGGTTTAAAAGTTTGCTTATTGGGCAGAAAAATGCCTACAATTTAGCTCCAGTTCAGAAAGAATGAAAAGAAAAAAGGTTTTTGGCATTGCATTGGGATGAGGAGTATTATTATCAACCCTTTGACATGGTCCCAATGACGTCATGGCATTCCCTGCATAGCTCCGCCGGTACTCTGCTTTGTTACTCTATGACTTTCTCATGCCCTATAGTGAGCTGTGGAATGCGGGGCACGCACGCGACAATTGTATCACACATCTGCGTGTGTGCCTCCATCCGGTTTGCTTTTCACCCAGTTTTCAGTGCGCCTACTGTACCATGCAGTACCCCGGTAATTGGGTAGCACACCTTAGAATGTGCCCCATACTTGCGCCCCTAGGGGTGCGGGGTGCATTATCGGCCCAAGTTTAAAAGTTGAAATAGGTGGAGTTGATTGAGTGTAGCTTTTGTTGGTGGGGAAAAACATTTTTCACATTTGTAAAATTCTTGGGATTTTATATTCCAGTGTTAAAAATGGGTCAATGAAGGTATGCCATTGCCTAATACTAAATTCTTAAGTTATGAAGAAAATGTCACAGATGATGTTGGCGAGTGGATGACTTAGTGATGAGTAAGTGACAACATACTTATGTAAGCTGTAACATGAGTACACAAACATGACTTAAGAACTTGTCCACTAGTTGTACAAGTACTACAAGGAATTCTGAAATTTTTGATCCACAACTTGCACAGCTGCAAGCTATTTCTTGTGTCATTTGTGAGGCGTGTTGGCAAAATAGGACAGAGCAGGGAACAGGCCATAGTGAAGAATTTTCAATTTTCAGACTGATATTTGCCATCTTTGATACGTCTACAACACATCTTTTAAAGAAAAAATATAAAAATTGTGGAATCAAAGTGTCTTTATATCGGAAAAACAATTGCTGTCTTTCATTTTCACAACTACAAAACTGAAAACTTTAAAGGCCTTTTTAACAGTATAATGCTTTCATGACACGTCGATAAATGCAAACTTTAAACAGCTTAAACTTGTCGACGGAATGTTTGAATGAAGTGCAACAAACAATATTGTTTGGAGAAATTATTCTCTTTCCTAACACCCGCAAACCCTTATTTCGACATCTGCCCGTTTCCGTCTCATTTTGCCAAAACGCCTCACATTTGACAGTACATGGACATTTTTTTTGTTGCCATTTTTGTTGTCTGCCAAACGGCCAGTGCAACCTTCAAATGTTAAGGGTATTACCTAGATTCAGACTATCTGGAACAATCCATTGTGTGGTTGACACCCCTCTGGAGACAATTTTATTTTGACATCAGGTACAAGGAAATGAATATTCTATAAAAGTTTCTTTTTTTTATGAAATACGCAATTGTTCATTTGAATATTTGTATAAGATTTTCACTCAATAAATTGAGTAAAAGTAAAATAAAAGTAAACTAAAAGGTTGTTAGTGTCTTAGCAGTGGCTGCATTTTGAGGAACTTTTAAAAGGAAATAGACTGAGTTATGGGGACTTTTCACTGTCCCCATGGCAACTTTGGTCACCACAATAACTATCATGCATCGGGCGTGTGGTCCCCACAAGTACGGAACAAGTACGTGCGTACTTGAATGATTAACATTTTGTGCATCAGCGCATTCGCATTGGACTTAGAGTTTCCACCTGTTATTTGCACGTGTTCA